GAAAAAGAAAAGGAGATATATATATATATATACATACTTTGGATAGGTTTTGTTCTGGATAGCCTTTTGACCGTACTTCCTCCAAGCACGGCCGTCTTCTGCCGTCGCCGCCGTCACAGTCCTCGTCTTGGCCAGTTTCCTGCAGTTCTCCGATCAACCCATTAGATCCCATTAAATTTTGCATACAAAAAGTAATCTCTTTCCATTTCAAGGCACAAAATTTAGTTACAACGAACCTTCTTTTATTGCCACGTCCTAGATCCTTAACCGCCGGGCTCCGCCGTGAGTAGCCGGAATCCAGATCCGAGCATAGAGAATGATCCGGACAGCTGGCGGACTCGGAGGAGACGACAAGGGAGATCGCTTCAGCGAAGGAACTCTCGATCTCGTCGGCAAGAGCTAGCCAGTTGATCCCCGTCGCCGACGCCGCTGACTGGAGATCAATCTGAAGCTGAGCTGCAGATTGTCGGCCGCGAAGAAGAATCTCCATAATCCTCCTCCATGTCTCCGCCGTCAATCTCCGGTGACGATAACCGGTGGCCTCCATGTTTACTTCCCTCACGATTAGGTTCTCTCGGATTTTTTGATGTAAATGATACCAAGAAAAATGGCGATGAGATTTTGAAAGAGTGACTGATATTATATATATATATATACCCACACAATAAATAAATAAATAAATAAATTATTAAATTATAATTGGATAAAAGGTAATCTAGATTTATCCAATTTTTAAAATTTCTAAATAATTCATTGTGTTGAGCAAATTTATCAATTTTCCTTTTCAATTTACTATATATTTTTTAAAAAAATTAATAACTTACTAAATACAAAATTAAATAATTTTTAAAATTAAAAATTAAAAGTTCATTAATTTTTATTAAATATTTAATGTTAAATTATGCTTATAAATTGAAAAAAATGAAGTGGATATAAAAAAAAAAAAATTAAAAGTTCATTAATTTATTAATTATTTAAAGAAAATGAGAAAAGAGAAAAGAAAAAGGAGAATAGGTAATGTAGGGAAGGGGGAAGGCGTGTGGAAGGAACTTGAGGAGCAAGGCGAGGGTGTGGTGACGTAACTAAATGACGTAGAATATGTGACGTCACTTGATGCCTCGGTAGTGGAAGAGGCTGCCATTAATATTTTCCAACAGGAATTACCGGCTTACAGCTGTTTTTTATTTTAATAATTTTATTATTTTATTTGGAAATATAGTTTTCGGACTTAGGACTCTTATTTTGTTTTTTTTAGTTAAATTATTACTTTATTTTATAAATTTTAAAATCGTGTCGGTACAGATAAGTCTTTAAGCTTTTTAACATTACGTTTACCATTAATATTTGCAAGCATACTGCACTGAGTTTTGACTATTTGTGTTCATACAATCAAATAACTCGAATAACCTAAACTATCCAATTCAAACCGTAAAAATTCAATTTAGTTTTTGAATTTGAGCTTTTTTAGTCGCCGAAAAAATAATCATAATCTAATCAGACTCTATCATACTTTAAAATTGTTGTAAAAATTAAAAAAAATTAAGGTTTATAACATAGAGTAGTGATATCATGGTAAAAAATATAATTTATTTCTAAATTATAATAATAGTAGATATTGGAAAAACTCAATATAAATAAATAAATATAGCAAAAATAATTAGTTTCTACAAATATAATCCACTTGGGGTAAAAAACACGAAAAAATTTCCCTTTTTATTTGCAAACAAATTAGACAAAAAAAAAAACGTTACAAGTCAAAGAGGCTGCCAAATAATTTAATAACAAAAAACTAAAAAGGAAAATATATATTATTTTTTTAAAAAGTATTATTTTATTTTTATTATATTATAATACTAAATAAACCCTTGCGTTTTGATTGGCCAAAGCGTCTGACTTGACACAACGTTGTCCCACTCGATTTATTATTTTGTTTTTAGAAAGAAAAAAAATATAATATCTGTCAGTATAATTGTACTATCACTAATTAATTAACTAATTATATTATTAAAAAGTGTTTTACCCTAATTAATGTCTCCATCACATTTAATAACATGCTTAGAGCTGAATAACCAAAATTAATTAATGTTACAAAAAAATCTCTCTTTTTTCTATATATTATGAAATAAAAGTATAAGATTAAAAAAAAGTCCACGAACATTGTTTTTTTAATTTTAAATTAAATTTCTTTTATTTAAATTCAATTTCATTTTCTACCCATTAAATAAATATATCAAAATCTATTAGATTTATCGAATATGGAAAGTTTTTGTATCTGTCATGTTTCTTTCGAATACTACTTTTTTCTTATAGGACCACCGTTAAATTTATGAGGCGTGAATTTCGAGATATTTTAAAATATTAAACAAAATCATAAAAATAAAAAATATACTTTTTAAATCACAAAAATAAAATGAAAATGATTGTTTAATCGTAGTTATGTAGCAAAATTAGTCATAATGACAAATAATAGGAGCTAGCCTGTCTTTTTATACATATGAGTAGGAAAAAAATTCGAATAAGTACAATTTTGTTAACGAGAGACTTGAACTCGTAGAATCGAATCGAATTGAGGATAAGTTCAAACCCTTTGACTATTTTGGTTCGTGTACTTTCAATTTTGGTTAATTTTGATCAGGGTACTTTTAAAATATTTATTTTGGTTCTTATTAATTTTAAGTCTTACTTTTAAAAAAGTTTCAATTTTTGTCCCATAATTTTTTTCTTTATCCAAATTCGTTCACTTAAGATGTATTCATAAATTTGTGTCGGAGGGTTATATAAAAAATTTGTAAATATGGTCAAAATGGTCATTTTAAAAAAATACTAAAGCTAAAATGAGCGTTTTAATTTTTTTTTTAAAATGTTATAAAATAAATTTAATCATAAGGAAAAATCATTTATTTACCTTCCAAATAACCAATTTATTTAGAATATATATATATATATAGATGAAAAGAGTCGGTTTAGTGTGGTATAAACATGTAATTACGTAATACTAGTGACGTTGGGAAGCTTGACGACACATGACTGACAAAATGGTGAATGCTCTATAGAGTCATGGCCTTTTTTTTTTTAAGGCTCCAAAACGCTTAATATCTCCAAAGTGAGTGGCTGTGGTGGTGGTGACCAAAGTCGCAAATGGCTGCCCAATCTTCATCATTGATCATCGACCATTCAAGCATTAAAAATGTGTGTGCCCAACCATTTTGTCAATTTCAGCTAGTGGTATCAATGAGGAAATATGATTATCTTTCTTTTTTTTGTGGCGTATGATATCGATTTTTACCCCGAATGCTAATTTATCGTGTTTGTTTAGATAAAATTGTGTCTCGGTATGATTTACTTGATTCGAAATCTTTAAGTCGTTTGTTTGATGTTGGTTATTATTAGTATTGTGCTTTTAGAAGATGTAGACTTAAGATTTGAATACTCGCCCTCGCTCGTCGTACATGTTAGGTCTGATTTAGAGGGTTGAAAAAGATTATTCCTCTTAAATGGAGTAAATAACTAAAAGGTGATGTATTATTCATTCAAAAGAATAATGATAAAGGAAAAGGAAATATTTAAATATGTTTTTTTTTCTTCTTTATTCTTTGATGTTTCATGGGAAATTGTCTCGATGGCTTCATATATATGTCCTTGAGTACTATGTTGTTTTGTCTTGAAATTGAATCTTTATGAATTCTTTAGTTTTTACAAAAAAGAGTTTTTTGATATTCAAATTCTTCCTATCTTTTTTTAGAATTCTCTCTAAGTTTTAAATTTTCTCTATTTATTGTTCTTCTAAGTAACGTGCACGATTGAACTATTTTCATCTTCGAGCCTAACTCTTTGGAATTAGACTTTGTTAGCTTTGAATTTAAAGCTTTAAGTTTTACGTTCGTTGGCTTTAGATTTTAACTTTTTCGATTTGGGATTTGATGAAAATTGTCATTTAATAAGATTTTTTTGATCTCTGCTTTCTATTTGACCCATTTTAATCAGATTAAGTTTACTTGATCAAATGATCTATCGAAAAGACGAGTCATGAGTCGTTGATGAATTAGGATTGATTAGATCGTGATTGAACATCCCGAGCTAATATGACTTCAGAGATTAAATAAGAATTGGGTTGATCGAGATTTGAGCCTTGAAGCTTGATGAATTTGAATGAATTACCTAATTCCATGAGAAATAGACAAATTTGAGTATGTAATAGGTGATTTAGTTATTGTAGTTACTATACCATGCTCATATGATTATGTTATTAGGTAAGGAACGATTGCTAGCTTATTCTTAACCATGGATAATCGAGATGGGTCATCATAGAATTCCACTGATGTATGATATGGATGATGTGATGTGAGTACCATTAGGAGGTAGCTTATCCTTATAATTATGAACCGTCAAAACGAGGTTTAAATTGATATTGAATGATGACGTGATATGGGCTAGATTATGATGAACGATGAGATCCCAGGAGCTAGAAAAATATGAGCTCCAGCAGTTGCGAGGAGCTAGATTAGAAAGACCGCTTGTAGGGAATAGTAAAGAGCTAGCTATATCATCCTATAACTCGAGCTAACCCTAGATAATCGGTAAGGGGACGAATTGTCATATAAATTTGTAACCATTAAAATGTTATAATTTATGTTATTAGAATGGTCTAAAGAAAATTGAAAATCGAGTTTGGTTAATGGTGTTTGTAGATAGAGGTTCGAGTATAAACTACGGTAAATAATTAAAAATAAAATTTTGTATATATGGAGGGGAAAATATTAAAATTAATAAATTTGAAAATAATTAGAAATAAAATGACGTGGAAATTTTCAAAGATTTAGAAAAAAGAAAAAGACAAATTTGATTAAAAAAAAAATATGGACTCTAAATTGGGCTATTCCGAATGGGTTTGTCACTTTATTGGGCTTATTCCCGGGCCGAAGTAAGTTGGGCTTTTGTTTCCAATTTAAAAGCCCAACGTTAAAAGAGAGGGCGAAGGCGGCAAACGGCTGGTTATGCTCAGATATAGAGCTCCTCCATTGCTAGCCCTGGGAATGGTATCGCCATTGCTCTCTTCTTCTTCTTCTTACTCCTCCTTTTCTTCAAACCCTAATCTCATTACCTTCAATCCCTCCTTCCCTATTCTGAAACCGTCCCCTACTCTACCTTCGCTTCTCTCTTCTTTCCATCAGAAGCCCAGTCGGAGCATGACTCATTCCAAATGCTTCTCTGGGCCATCCCCCGCCGTTCCCATTCCTAGTGCATGTGAAGTGCAGGAGGTGGATTCAATGTCTCTCGTTGTTGTGTCCTTCTACAAGTTCGCTGATTTTCCTGACCATGCGGAATTTCGGTCGCCATTGAAGAAGCTCTGCCAGGAACTGGTACTTGTTTTGTCTTGTCTTGTGTTTTGATTGAATTTTGTTTTTGTTCTGATTGGATTTGATTCTTGGCTAGAATTGTATATGGTTTAGCTGAGTTTGGGGCCAGGAAATGATACTGGTTTTCGTAAGTGATTTGTGGTCTTGGAGGGGAAGTGTTAGTTTTGTGAAGTGATAGATTTGGAATTAGGGTGAATTTATGATTCTGTACATTAATGAAAGAAGATGAGAAAGGAAAGAGAAAAGCTCAAGTAGCAGAAGTGAAAAGCTTAATGAAATAAAGCTTGCACAAAAGTACTCTAGAAGAATGAAGAGACCAACTGCGATCATGTAAACTCCAGACATGGACTTAGGTTCGAAATTAATGATAGAAGGGAAGTTAAATCTTCCACTCTTTACTTGTAAGGAAAGAGCTCCCTTTTGAAACAAAATAGAAGAGAACCACCCTTCAAAGCAGGAAAAGACTGAGGCTATAGATACCCTTTGAAAATGGTGGTGTTCTGCCGTGGTTGTCCCAAACTTTAATTGATTGTAATTAATCAACTATTTCTTAGCTGCAATAGATGAAGAAAGATTTTAAATTGATTTAATCGTCATTCTTTAGCAAGAACATATAGGTACTAGCTGGATATATTTAATGAGTACGCTAGTAAGAACAGGAAGTGATTTGAAAACATAAAGAACTCTTTATCATTTCGTTGAGTTGATTTATGACCTTAAGTTTCTTCTTCTTCTTTTTTTTTTTTTACTTTTTTTTTTCCTCCATACAAATAGTGAAGGGAATACAAATTAGCTACTGACTAAATCAATATGGAAACAATTTCTGTTTACTTTTCCAGTTTCTAGACTTCATTTGTTATTATAAATTTATACCCCTTTTGCTGCTCTGTTTGGATTATGTTACTAAGCTAATATTGCTCAGCGTGTTTCAGGAGGTATCATTCTTGCACCTGAAGGAATTAATGGGAGCATTTGTGGATCTCGTGAATCTGTACAAAGGGTTCTTGGATTCATTGAAAGTGATGAACGCCTAAAAGGACTAAGGCAGGTGGAAACACCTGTTAGTCCTGAAGAAGAAGCCATTCATCATGGACATTCGAGCAGTTCCCCTCTTGCAGCAGGGGAAGATGCACCCTTCCGCTGGGACCATGTCAGGGTCAAATTAAAGAAAGAGGTAATCACATTTTAATTTATTTTCTATATTTTCATAAGAATGTGGGGAATGTAGGTTGAAACATTGATTAAAATGTTGACGATACATCAATATATCCATAAATTGGAGGGTTCAACATCAATATCAAAGTTTAATGGATATCTCTGTTATCTTGTATCAATACCCATAAAATATAAAAATAATATCATCAATTAGTCACCAATATAAATGTAGATACTGCTAATTAGATCTATAACTGATTTAGAGAGTGAAAAGAACTTAATTATTAATTATTTGATTTATGGCAATAGATGTTGATATCTATATTTTATTGATATTAATAGGTCCATAGAATTGAAACTTCGATATTGATATTGATATAGTAATTCTTGGGTAGAATATAAGGCACGGATTGATTTTTTTACTCTTTGATTTTTATTCCTTTATTGATGCTTTTGTCCCCATGCTGCTTCTGTTTTCGCAGATTGTTACTCTTGGAATGCCTGATGTATCACCTGTTGAAAGGGTTGGACAATATGTGAAACCAAGGGACTGGAATACACTGATTAGTGACCCAGATACTGTTAGTAACTTTACTTGTCTTAATTTTAGTTACTCTGTTTGGTTGCCATTGACTTCTGTCGGATTCGTGTTTCTTCACTTATTTTGATTATTGATTATTATTAAACTTTAAGTGTATTCCCACGATTGGAACGGCATTTGGTTGGTTAAATGAGCATATATATTGTCCTCGTGTCTGGCTGAGCATACAGAGATTTTGGACTTTATCTCGTTGAAGGGCATAAGGGAAACATGCTAAGTAATTAAATGTTAACGTAGGTGGTTATTGATGTGCGCAATCACTACGAAACAAGGATTGGAAAGTTTAAAAGAGCAGTTGATCCCTGTACTCCAGCATTTCGAGACTTTCCCTTTTGGGTAGAGGATAAGTTCCAACTTCCTAAATCCGATTGCGAGCATTCAAATGAAGAAGTTGAAGGAAAAACCGTAAACCCTGAAGAGAACTCGCCTCCACGAGTTGCCATGTATTGCACGGGAGGAATCCGTTGTGAGAAAGCTTCAAGTTATCTCCTCAGCAAAGGCTTTAAAGAGGTGATGCTTGTTGATTTCTATATAACATGATTTGCTTCTGAATAAAATTTGGGCATGACGCCTTTATGATTGCCACACTTTATAAGAGCTCTCAAAGAACTCCTTGGATAATCGCTGCCTTGAAAAATCACGAACTTTTCAGAAAGAGTTGTATGCATTTAAATCTGGAAAATGTTTAATCAAACCGTTTTTCCACGCCACCCGAACTGCATTCTCTCATGAACTTTTCTGGCCTATATACTATTAATCTGAGGCATTATCTTGTCTGAATCTTTTTTAAGGTTTATCATTTGGAAGGTGGAATTCTGAAATATCTGGAGGAAGTTCCAAAGACAGAGAGCTTATGGGAGGGAGAATGCTTTGTATTTGACAAGCGTGTCTCGGTTGAGCATGGTCTGGAACAGGGCACGTTCAAGCTTTGTTATGGGTGCAAGCAACCGGTGAGTGATGCGGACATAGAATCTCCTCAGTGGGAGTATGGAGTTTCTTGTCCTCACTGTTACTCAACGAAATCTGAAGAAGAGAAAGAGAGGGCAAGAGCTCGGCAAAGGCAATTCGAGACATGGGGCATCATTGGTGGTCCGGACAAAGGCCGGCGACCAAAACAGAGTGATAAAAATGCTACTCTTCCAAATTCAATTTGATCGCTTTTTTCTTCAGGGTCTTTTTTCCATTTTTGTATTACAGACTACACAGGACAGATCAAAATATCCTTCTCCACCTTGGCTATTCTCTCGTGTATGCAATATCCGTTTTTGTTGATCATGACACGTGTGAAATTTTGGGACTTTAGTCTCTATCTATTAAAAGAACGATACATCTAAAGCTTTGGAGACTCCTTATCTGGAACTCTGTTTTGAAGACACGTTTGCAACAAAGGAAACCGTGAAGTGGCGAGAACATACAAAGATTCATGTCATTTAGATCAGTACATGTATGGCTCCTTTTGAGCTAAGTAAGAGATACAGAAACATAAAAGAAATGATGACAGGTGAAAAGGGTTTGTTGAAGTTCCTCAGCCCAAAGCTCCGGAACCGCCTGCATCCCATCAACATCGAAGCTGCTGTGCTATGGAGTGTTGCAGGCACTGCCACTGCCCTTTGGCTTGTACAGGTATTAGTCTTAAACTTCACCGACTCTTCTACCAGCATTCTGTTTGTTCATGATCATTACTACTTTTATTCTCTGCTTGAAACTGAAAAACTTGCAGCCATTTGACTGGTTGAAGAAGAAGATTTGGGGGGTGGAGGAAAAAACAGAAGACAAGGTGCAAAGTGATGAATAAGATAGGAGTGTTGCAAAGGACTGTAATGCCTCTAATGTCAAGTAAGTTGGTAACTCTAATAAGACTTGATATGATATGAAAAATGTCCATCCTTCTTCTTGTTCTTTTACTCTCTTTTTATTGGGATGAACCATCAAGATTCAAGCTTGGTGGGGATCAGGAGCAGCATCAGAGTGTTGCTTGAGAGCTTGAAACACTTCAGAACTGGTACTGAAAATCTTAGCCCTCCTATTATAATCTGTAGGCTCTCTACCTTCATCTTCCCCCATAATGGCTTCTCTTTCCAAACATTCAAGCAGCTCCACCACTCCCTTCCCCCCTCCGCCACATTTCTCATCCAACCTCCCTAGCTTCAGCCACTCTTCTATCTCCTGCTCCGCCACAGAGCCCCCCCAACCACCCTGACTAACACATCTTGGCGCTGCCGCCGCAACCCGACGGCAGAACCATGGTGGGGAAATGGCTGAAATTGGCCTGATCTTGGGGAAGACGACGGTGGAGGAGCGGTGGAAGAAGGATGGCGACGGTGGTGGTATTATGAGAGATGCAGAGACGACTTGCATGGTCGGTTTGGTGGGGGGGGTGTTGATAAAATTATGGGCTTTTCAGTAATGGGCAGAAATTTTGGGGGAGAGGGAGTTTGTATTATAGAAAAATTTCAGAGTAAGAGAGGCACCGCCCCTGGCCACCGTTTGGACGCCCACGTGGCAGTCCCTGCAATGGCACGTGGTCACGTGATCTCTCTTTATCATCAATATCTTTAACATTTTAGTTCAAATTATCAACAAAATAATAATACAAATATGAATATAATATTGGTGACAATATGTATATTTTAAATATTTAATTATTTTTTATTTACCTTTTTATAGAATTAAGACAAGAAATAATAATACAAATATGAATATAATATTGATGAATTTTATTCTGGATTACATCCCTGTAATACTTTCTAATATTTGAAAAAAATTATGCGATTGAAAGTGAAAAATGAGTTTTTGAATCTAATTGAATCATTTATTATCGAGTAAATAAAAAGTTATTATTATTATTATTTTTTATTTTTGGTCTCTTTTCAAAACACGCAAGGACTTGATGGTCTTTCTAAGACTTTTGGGTCGATTTTAAGTGTAACTTGATCTCGTACAAAATTAAATGTCAATGGTATCAACCATAAAATATCAACGTTGTGAGGGTAAAAAGGACTTTACACTATCATTGTCAGAGTCAGGATTCAACAACATTTTTTAATTTATGGGGACAAGTTAAAGAGTCCTTTAGAATTTTATTTATGTTTCCAATTCTCAACCGACTTTAGATGACGTGCTTGATTGACATTTGAGTTGCTAAGATACAATTAGTGTATCCAATCTATGATATACGTCAGAATATGTTGCCAACAGAAAAGGAAAAGGTTAGGTAAAAATGTGTTCTTTCCCCCACTAAAGGACCTTTCTTCTTTACTCTACTAGTGCATTCTTGAATATGCTCGCAAATTCTAGATTTATGTTTTATATATAATATACATTTGGGTGTTTTGGTTGGTACTAGAATTTTCTCTAACTTGCTTAAAATTTGACGGATTCCTTTGCTAATAATGCATTAAATAAGTCATCAAAAAATTAATGACTATACAACTATTGAACTAAAAAATTAATGACTCTACAATCCCATCTAACAATTATTATAGATAATCTGATTAAATAATTATTTCTACCACTTAACCATCATTTGACATGCACGTAGAAAAAGACATTACAATCCTATGATGCAAAGTGGTGGCAAAATCAAGTAATAAATGCGCTTAGTCATAGAAAAGAAAATCTAAGTTTTAAATGATGTGGTTACGTGTTTATATATATATATAAAATAAAAATGATCAAATCTTAGATGATTCTTGACGTTTTGAAATTGAATAGTTCTCGCATGGCTACAAATATCAACACAATTTTAGGACAATGTCAATTACACTTCATTAGTCCTTTTAAGATATCACACAAAAGGCTAAAGATGACATGCTTGATACACGTTGTAACAATATTAGAATTTAATGCAATTCTACTAATACAAGTAAGAGAGATAATATTTGGAGATGAAAGTTTATAAATAGAATTGTGTCTTTAATAATTTTATATTTTACTGTTATGAATTCAATTTATATTAATTATGATTTTTTGAAAAATATTGGATGATCTGTATTGAAAATATAAAATCCATCGAACGCATTCTTGTTTCCTCTTGATCTTAATATTTCATTATTCGAAAGTATGGGCAATCTGCAACAGAAACTGTATGGTTGTATGTATCATGTATGCACTAAAGACTGATGTGTTCGATGATACCTGGATTGTGTAGCTGAAGTTTATTAACTCTGTACGCTATGAACACAAATATCTGAGAATAAGGCAGCCGCCATTGATGATGGAGCAGATGGGCTAATATTCCATTATCAAGTTCATCTGAAACTGTCTCTGTACTTGTTTCTTCTGTTTGAAACGATGGAAATCCTCTGATCCTGAAGCATGTTCATATTCGGGGCCAGCAACCGGGTGTAACGGTCGAAATACAGGAGTTGCTTCATGAGAAGCGCAAACTCTCGGGGAAATCTTAGTCCATATGATTCACTGACCCGGAGCTGTAGTACATGTATGGAAAATACCATCATTTGGGTTGAAAAAACATGACAAGATGATGCTAGTAACACATACCACATCAAGGAAGAGTTTGTTCATTTGCCTCTCGTCTACAACTATATTCGCAGCAACGGCGGTTGAACCACTCCTTCCTTCCCTGCCTGTTGCTATCACTATTTCAGTATCCAAATCCTGCATTCATAAAATGAGAACAATCTGATTCAGATATTTATGTTTATTTCTATTCATAAACGATGACAAAACTGGCTAAAGATCCTTGTTTGTGAAAAAAGAAAAGATGTTACTACCGTTTAATGCCCTTCCAGACAACAAGAATTTCATCAATATTAGCAAATTATAAGCTAGTAATATAAATAGAGTATTACATCAGTCTTCTATTAATAAGCTAGTAGTATAAAGATTCAACGGTTAAAATATCGAGTTTGAAAACTAATGAACCAAAATCCTACCAAATTAAGACCTCAAGAACTAAAAGGGTAAATTTTTTTTTTCTAAATTAGAACCTTAAACCCTAAATTATATAATAAAATCCTACTAAAAGAGCTACCAATTGGCAGAGATAGACCAGTGAAAAGAATTTAAAAAATTTCAATCGATGCTTTAACTGAACTCTAAACACTTTCCTTTATTGAGGAAAATATATTTTCTAGATCTCTGGCAAAGGCCACAGAATTGACGTCATTGTTAGTGGCACCCATTTGGATGAGGGCTGATGCCATTGATTCATAATCTTCAGTTGAAATTGATGCCAAAAATACATCCATCGCAGCCCATGTTTCTGGCGATATACGTCCAACAATTCCTGTAAATATAATTTTGTTTTTACATGTCAGTAACAGTCGTCATTTATTTTGAAACAAGGAATGTGGCTGACCATTCCAAATTCACAAACAGATGATAATTGCAGTTTGTAAATAGCTGTCCAAGAAAAGAATATTGGAATTTTAAGGGTTTCTGAACAAAAGCTTTAAAAACATGGAATCTCATGAAAGGTAATTAAAGGCCCTGACCAACAACGTTAAATAATTATTCCTGCAGGACATAACAAATAGAATTTCATCAAATGCACTGAAAAACATAAATGTCTAGTAGACTATTCTTCAACCATCATGTTAATTAAAGCTGATATGTTTATTGTGTGTGTGTTCTGTGGTTTCTTTCAAGTCACCCACAATACTGCTGAGAGAGCTTTAACCTAATAGGAGTTGTTCAATCGCTGGAATCATGGAAAGAGGATGACACCAACTCACGCTAGACTAATGTAGAAGAAGCCACAGGTGTAGAGTATCTAATACAGTGGAAGAACAGATGGTAGTTTCATTTCGCTAGATTCTTGGCAACAAATAAGGTATTTGGAAGAGAGTTGCTTTTAGAAACATTTTAAACAAAGTTCAATCTTCCCAAGGAGAGGCACCAAAAGGGGGAAACCTTTCTTTTAGGGAAGACTTTTGGTTCCAAATTATCTTATGAACATGTTGATTAAGGATGGAGCTCCTATCTTTACTAAAAAAACATATAAAAGTAACAGTTGTAGATGGCTAAATTGCAAAGGTCCTAACTTAATCTATCCTCATCCAGGTTGGAATAGCTGATTTGAAAACTACGTAGCATCAAGAAGTAATCACTGTCAGTATCATAGAGAGATCCAAAAAAATGTTATATGCCCTTAACTATTTCCCACGACCCAACAATCCTCTACATTCGCAATTTCCACCAACCACTTTAAAAGCTACACAATGCATAAACTAAATACTAGAAGTTGAGTGCACATACCAAAATCAAGGAAACCAATACGGCCATCACGTAATAACCATAAGTTGCCAGCATGAACATCTGCATGGAAGGTTTCACACGCAAGCAAACTACCAAACCTGTAGTGATGTTTTATATCAATTGTATAATGCATCACACAGAATCAATAAAATTTGTCTAAAATCCAGGGAAAACAAACATTGTATCCTACCAGACGTTAAGTGCAGTAATGAGACTGGCTTCTGGGCTGGGAACAAGTGAACTTATAGACTCTAGGTCAGTGAGAGGAACACCATATAGCCTTTGCATAGTTAAAACTCGTCTAGTACTGCAGTGGTGATATACCTTCGGAGCTGTAGCCTGCCTCGTGAGTCCCATGTCTTCCAAATATCTTCTGAAGGACTCAATATTATTAGCCTCCTTGTCAAAGTCGACCTCTTCAAGCATTGATTCTCTTATGTCCTTCACGATAGATACCTGAAGAAAATAAAAATTAAACTTCTTTGAGTATCATTTCTAGTGTATCCTCCAAACAGGAGCCTACTGAAAGGTAAAAATCAACATCTTGCGCACTTTTACACCACATACTACACCAACCCATGGAAAAATAAACTTCTCCATGCATTGATTCTTTTATGCCATTCACAATAAAACTTAAAGGAAAGCAATCATATACACATTTAAAACTGAGCACTCTAATGATATTCTGTATCCAAAAAATAAGGGGAAAATCAATTTTTCCCTTAATCTTGTCAAGTTGAATAAATTATCACCATAAGCTTTCGATTTCATCAAATTGGATTCTAATCTTAGAATTAATGTTGTGTGATCCTTGATAATTTGTGTGCAAAAAATGATAACTTCTATGGTAAAGGATAAATAAATTAAATGACAAGAAAGCTTAAATTGCACTTTTTTTTTTTTTTTTTTTTTTTTTTTTTTTTTTTTTTTTTTTTTTTTTTTTTTTTTTTTTTTTTTTTTTTTTATAATTACCCTTGTAAACTTCCAACTGCAAGAAATTACTTTGATAGCGTACCAGTGATGCACGGCTGAGTTCAGGATTCAAGAACTCCAATATGCGAGCAACAATATATACAAAATTTAGATCTGCTACCAGTATGTCCTCAATCCCTGGCTTTAAAACTTTAATGACCACATCATCTTGGGAGCTCCTAAGCCTTGCACCATGAACCTAGACATTAACTACAATGTTAAGTAAAAGATTAAGAAAATTTATTTAACGAATCAAGATAGTATGATATCCCTTTACTTGAGCTATTGAGGCTGAAGCAACCGGGATGGGGTCAATATATTCATAGACACTATCAATCGATCTCCCTAGATCATCTTGTATGATTCTCTTGATCTCTTCAAAGGGAATTGGAGGAGCTTGGTCAAAACACTTTTGAAATTCCTCCACATATTCTGGCGGAAAAAGTGTGGGAGCTGATGCTATGAACTTCAGAGTAAAGGACCAAACATAATCAATGAGGAAATACAAAAGGAAGGATTAAAGAAAATTGCATTAACTGACTCGTAATGAAGTTCTGAGACTTGCAAATAAAAAATGTCTTCTTCATTAAGGATATTTTGACGTTGAAGTGAAAAGAAGCTCAACCGGTAATACAAAATGGGCAACTTCACATTAGAAGTTTTACTTTGGTACACTTAAATGGGCAATGACCAACACTTACCTGACCTAGTTTGATGTATGTTGCCCCCATGCGTTCAAACAGCCTCCTCAAATAAGTTGGGGAAAGTAACCCTAGCTGCAATTCTGTCGGCAATCCAGGTGATGAATTTGCAGACTAAAAGGATCAGGGGGATGTTAGTGGCTCCAACCAAATAAAAGGAATGCATATAGGGGTGTATTTAAGATTTTTTTTTTTTTTTTTTTATATATTATCAACTAAAATTCGCCAAATAATATTGTATTAAGTAATAAATTCCAAATAATACAAAGAAAGATATCTCCAGACAGATATTTTATGAACAATGTTATACAAAATTTTCAGACACTGAAACTCAGAAAATTGAGTACAAAAAGAATTTAAAGGTTATCACTGGAGTCATCATCATAACTTAACATGTATTTATTTCTCAAAAAACCTACGAAGAAAATATAAGATCTGGATTTAGCAGTCAATACAGATAACTTCGTGAATATAATTTACAGTCATCAAAGGGTTGCAGAAATCATTCAGAACTACATGAAAGAGAGCAACTAACTTAGAACAGAAGCAAGGAAGATGCAGGAGGAACAGTTGAAATGGATTCAAGCCAACAAATTTACCAACTTGACAAGAATATGGGGAATATCAAAAGTTTCTGTACACAAATAATCAATCCTAACTTCGATTAAAAAGAATTAAAAAGGTCGTGCCATTCAAAAGTTCAAGCATTGTTCAGCTTATCAAATGTGAACCGGGATTCCAAACTCTTAGAAAAGAAATTGGCACTTCATAATGATTTGGAGAACATTATTGCATCATATATGTAGAACAACGCAGCCAATTTATCATCAACAAGAATATGTGAAATTACTTCCACAAAGTATGAAGTCACAATTCAGTCAACTGCACCTCTTTTGAGATTGAAGGTTCCAAACCTTACACCACATTTGCTTTACTAAAAGAAAATGGTGACTGCTAATAAGTATAACTATATGAGACTTCAACTAGAAAAATGAAATTAAAAAGACAATATAATTTTTTTGAATGTCCTTCAGTGGAGACCAAATGAACGTAAAAAAGAGCAAAATGCAAATTAAGTTCTAGCAAAATTTTTCCCACACATATAATAGCAATATGTAAGAGTTTAGTGAATTTCCTTCATATAAAATCATCTTAACTGTGAAGAAATAATTTAAGAAGTCAATTGAAAGATGATTTATGTTAGACAAAAGACCGTGTAAAGAAACAGTGATTACAAGCACAAAGGCAAAGCTACTGACAAGAAAAGAACTGATACCTTCGTCACATCTGCAAGCCACTCTCTACCAACTCCAATAAATGCTTGAATACCTTGAGCTAGCCTTATGGGGCCACGTGGACCTGTGTTTATGGAGGTCTGCACGATGTCCTCCAACAGTTTAGGCAGATTTTCTATGCTAGCTGAGAATTGCAAGTTAAACATTAGCATTTTGTTAGACTTCGGTGAGGGTTGAATCAAACAGATGAAAACCACATAAACAACAATTATTTAAATAAGAACTAGATGTTTAGAAAACACTGTCTATGCACTTCACAACATACACTGCTAAGCAACTTCTGCATGGAGTCGATACCTTTCCTTTTCTTTTCTTTCATTCAAATGTTTCAATTAGACCAAAATAAATTCTTATTTGTAAAGAGCTGTTTCAAAGGAGGATAACGTTGCAAGGTCAGCACGACCAGCTAAAGATAACTAACATACCGCAAGAATGGATAACTTGCTGCTGTGAATCCTTGTTAAAGTGATTATTGGGGGGGGGGGGGGGGGGGGGGGGGGGGGGGGGGGGGGGGGGGGGGGGGGGGGGGGGGGGGGGGGGGGGGGGGGGGGGGGGGGGGGGGGGGGGGTGCGGTGGAGTTCCCAATTTCCTACTTTATTCAGTAGGTATGAAGACGTTGCCTTAACTTCAGGAGTAAAGGAGGATTACTTTTATCCTCCTTCTTCCCTAACATGCACGATTCTCCAGAGGAAAAACACACAGTCCGTATGCTTATCTTTATCCCAATTGTTTAGAACTCTGACCGAAAGATGCAATGAAATTTTCAACAAACAGAATCGCTTCCGAGAATAAGAAGTACGAAAAAACGGTAAACAAACAATCAATTTCTACAACTTTTCCGAACAGACAAACTCTAATAGAGACGAAGAAGAAGAATAAGAATAAGGCAACTCTACTTTGAAGGCGCGAAGAGAATTGGTCCTGAGCCGAAGAGTAACGAGCAAGGAGACGAAAGCCCTTCGACCTGAAGCCCTGGTTGAAATTCCGCGCAGCTATGGCGGGCAACTGGAGCCGATGATGAAACGATTGAGGAACGCCTCTGAGAGCTGACACGGAAGTCATTTCGCAACCTCTTTCGTTGTTCTTCGCGCCGAAACTGAACGAAATCGTTGGCGTGAACAGAGAAATTGAGGTTCAGAGTGTCACTGTTGAATCATGTGGTGGCTGGTGGTAATCGGGGAACAGAAATGTGGCCCTCAATCAATCCACGAACCTCAAACTCTTATACTTGTCTAGGCGTGTTGTCTATGGCCGCATACTCATTGCATGTCAAGACATCGGTTATAATATTGCTTTCAGTTTCCTTTCAAACTCTTTTTTGAAAATTACTTTAACCCCGTTTCTAAAAACCTTATTTTCAAAAGAAGCAAGAGGCTTTAGCATACGTCCTCCAACCATAGTTGCACGATTTCGAGTTGGTTATCTCGCTCGATGCTAGGAGTGAGTATAGCACAATCGTTTGTAAACGTTTCCAGGGAGTCGATTGTGACCTTGTCCTTCTTTGGTTTCTTACACTTATGTTTCGGTGTCACATCCCTATGTACTCCTCCATTACCTAGTTAGCTATGTGTTATAAGCTAGATACTCCCCATAGGACTCCTCAATTCCCTCCGTTATTTATACCTTATGCCTTGTGCATATGCACGACGAGTCAGCATGCATATGTATGTTGAGTATCGTAATCATATGTTTTTACTAAAAATAGCATAATATCAGTATAAAGGACATTTGAGAGTATAATTTTGAGCTCAAGTTAGAATGAATTTTTTTACTTTTGTAATTTTTTTTGAACCCAAAAACAATCAAGATAATTTTTATGAACATTTTGATAATTCTTTTTGCAACTAATATACCTAAAAATAAAAGTTACGAAGAACACTTAAAAAGTAAGATTTTTTTTTAATAAATTATTAGTTTGAGCAATTTGACATGGAATACTAGATATTGCAGTCGGGACAATCTTGGGGAATCTTATATTTGAGTATCAACCTTATCCACCGTCGCCGATTTCCATCCGTGCTCTTTTTTGGACTTCATCGCCGAACTCAACGAATCAACTCGATCGTTTCTGGAGCTGGAAGAATCTGGTTCAGCACCGATGAAGATCCATTACATTCCTTGCTTGGAAGACAACTACTCTTACCTGTATTTTCTAATAAAATCCCCATATTCATATCTTCTGTTATTTTTCATTTCCGCTTCTCCAATATGAAATCGCAGTCGGATTGCATATTTGATTTTGTATAGGGTGCCTGTAGTTCTTTTTGATCATTGGATTCCGGGTGGATGTCAGGATCATCGATGAGAGCACTAAAGAAGCAGCGGTCGTTGATCCTGTGGAGCCAGAGAAGATTCTGAATGTTGCTAATGAACATGGCGTCCATCTCAAGCTCGTTCTTACGACTCATCATCACTGGCATGATTATTCCCCCTTTTCCCTTTTTCCTCTTCACTCATATATTGATTATTGACTTGTTTTTCATTTCGCTGCATCCTGTTTCTGTTTGTTTTCCTTGAATTGCTGGCTGATAATATTGGTTTGTGAAATTGTTCTTATTAGTATCGCCTTTTCCTTTTTAGGGATCATGCGGGGGGCAATGAGAAAATAAAGCAGCTGGTTCCTGGAATTAAAGTATATGGCGGTTCCATTGATAAGGTCAAGGGTTGTACAGATGCAGTAGAAAATGGGGATAAGATAACACTCGGTGCTGATGTTGTTATATTGTCTCTTCATACACCTTGGTATATCACTTTCTTTTTAATAAAGATTATCCCATCCTTAAAGAAACAGTATCATGTCATGATCCTTTTTGATTTATGTAGACTGGCTCTTGATTGAATTATTGGTTCCTACCATGATTTCCTATACTCCCTATCATTTTCTGCCCTAGTTTCTGAGTTTTTAATTTTAAAATGATAAATATGCTCTAGTTTCTGAGTTTTTAATTTTAAAATGATAAATATGCTTTCTTCCGAAGTGTTCGATCTAGATACGTCATAGGAGTGCAAAGCATTTAGTTCAATTTACTTATTCTAGGCAGAGGGTAGATATGGGAAATAAAGGATGTGCTCATGTGTTCACAAGGGTGTATGAGCGGGATCTATCGTACAATTAACAAACAAAGTAGTAGTCAAGATGGTGAGGGTGGGGATGTTTAGCTGGCTAGGAAGTATAAATAGGATATTCACTTGATCAGCAGTATTTTTGGCTGAGAGTCTGCATATTCTTGTCACTGTGAGACAGAATAAGAAAGAGTGAATATTCTTCTTTAAAGCTCCAAAAACGATTATTCATCTTTTCTCCTTCTCTGCTGTTGAGTTGTTATAATTCTAGCCATTTCAACAGGCCATTAAAACTTGTAAGCTTTTTCTTGGAAGTCAATAAAATTAAATCTTGATCTTTATCAGAATTGAACTCATGTTAATGGACCTATATATGCATGATTAGTCGTTATCTGAAGCAATTGTTTCATTTAACTCCATTTCACTTATTTTTGTGTGGGTGGTAGAGAGGAATACTTTTCCTTTATCTGTATTAATTGTTATTTCCCACCCAACTATTGTTCTTGATTTTCTTTTATTGGCCTTCTGTCATCAGCCACACCAAAGGGCATATAAGTTATTACGTCTCTAGCAAAGAGGGTGAGGACCCAGCTGTCTTCACTGGTGATACACTGGTAAGTTGATATGAAAAGCATCAATGATTGTTTGTGAATTTACTCAAACTTTCAATGGGATATTATTAATTCAGGGTGTTATTTTCATTTTGTCCATTTTGAATTAAAAAAATTTCTAATACAAAAAATTCACAGGAAATATTAGACATCCGTTAAATTACAAAAACCCAGGAGACTACAGAAGTGTCCTTGATTAGCCGATAGGCTCTGGTAATAGTTAAATTAACAACTAATAATAGTGCCCCCATCTTGGGGAACCTTGTTGACGTTAGGAGTTTAGGTTTTTTTGTAGCATCACCCACAATATAAATTGTTTGGAAGAGCTACTCTTGGAATTGTTGATTTATCCTACGGAAGCTCAAATCGTGGAAGTTGAGGCTAACTTGCAATTTTGTTATAAGAAAAGTGTACATATTTCTACTTGTTCAATGGAGAAAAAACCTCAAGTTTAAAAAATGAAAGATGGACTTAGACTCATACGCTACTTGCTCAAAAGCCTTGAAAACTTTCATAATCTTGGCCATGTGGCTACTCTTCTTTGGAGCTTCTATAGCCGAATTACCATATAGTGCTTAAAAGAGTATGAGACTCTTGCTCCACTATAATTCCTCTGTCTCCTCTAGAGATGTGCAAGGGGAAGTGTATGTCTTCCCTCAGACAAAGTTTTCGGGTCATTTGATGTAGTGTTTGACAGGATGCTGGTAAGTCACCCCGTTAACCAAGACCTTTTTGAGCAATTCCTTCTCACCGCATTAGAAGGCTCTTTATAAATTCTTAAGCCTGTTCGTTAATAACTAGAGTTGTACACATTTAATATCACTATAAATTCTCATTTTCTTTCTTAAATTGTTAGTTAAGCGCTGTACTTGAGCACTTAATGCATTGTTAGCTTGAACCAAGTTCATCATGACCTTGAGCAGGGTGCACCTATGTCTTTGTGAAGGGTGAAGGTGAAGCAACCTACTCACTTAGATGGGAGCAAGATGGATGACTTGTAATTGAATGTCAATTCTTTGGATTGATATGCTGAACGAAGTAATGGAGATAAGATCTTGGTCCAGATCTTGTGATTTCATTCCTTCTTTAGATTTTATCACAAACATTTAAGTTTTGCCAAGGACTAAAAACAAGTAGCAAATATTGGGTTTGCTGCTATGATAATTGTTGCTCAAACAAACCAAGTTTCTTGTGATCATTTTGTTTCATAAGGAAACTCCAGCACTCCTTAGAGATTCGGGCAATATTTTTCATTCTGTCGTTACCAATTCTCTAGGCCGTTAGGTTGGGTTTTTCATTTTTGGATTTTGTTGTGTGTGTTTGGGTGGGGCTGGGAGGATTATTTACTTCCCTAGCTATATGTACTGGTAACAATTTCATAACTTGTTCAAAGGGGTTAGATGTAATAGCATAAGGGGGAATCTCTTGTTCTGTAAGGAGATGGATTATCTCGATAGTAGTACTGATTTACGATCTGTACCTTTTCTTTCTCTTTAATGGGAAGTTATTTCTTACAATAAAAAAGCGTCCCAGTTTTGGGTATCATGTATCCAGTAGTACTTACTCTTCTGTCAGAACAATCCAGATCGTCAGTATATAGTTCTTTTATTTTCTTCTTGTACATAATTCAGTTGTTTCTTACTAGATAATACGTCACATCTTAACTTTGGTTTCTTTGTGTGTAGTTCATTGCTGGGTGTGGTAAGTTTTTTGAGGGAACAGCAGAGCAGATGTATCAATCTCTATGCGTCACATTGGGTTCACTGCCAAAGCAAACACGAGTGTATTGTGGCCATGAGGTAATTAATTATCTGACTCTTATCGGTTTTCTTCCCTGGTCGGGGTTCTTTCCTGGGTACATTAACTAGTTTTGAGTTTATTCTCTTAGTAGACTCCACTTTGAGGGATTTATTTTTGTTCGACTTTCCTTTTTCTACTTCCATTCATCTTAAGGTTTATGCTTTGGACATTCATGAAGAATGAACTTCGTTCTGGGTAGTAGTCAGGTTAACCTTCCTGGTTTTAGGTTTGCTGATGTGACATTGAAATCCGAGAAGAACGAGCTAAATAGGATAAAAAAGTGGTGGAGGATTTTGGTCAGAAACGATCCAATAAGGAGTGGATTTAGCATAATTTCTTTATGGTTTTTCGAACGAAAACTTATTAGATGGTCAATCGCACACACTTTTTCACGTCAAGGTTAAATTTGAAACACGTATATAAGTTTAAGGTGCAAGAAATTGAAAGTTTAGAGTACAAATTGATGCAACTCGATTCTTCAAACTATTTTTTCCCAATTAAGTTCACTGTTGCCATGCCTTTCTTGTAAAACTTATTTGAATTTCCAGAACGTTTTGTTGTTGGTTCTTTTTCTGAGGTTAACTAAAAGTTCTCTTTTTGTACAGTATACGGTGAAGAACTTGCTGTTTGCTCTGACAGTTGAACCAGACAACGAGAAGATAAAAGGTAAGTTGTTGTGGGCTCAGGGCCAGCGGCAAGCCGGACACGCCACTGTTCCCTCGACCATTGAAGAAGAAATGGAGACAAATCCTTTCATGCGAGTTGATCTACCTCAACTTCAGGTACTCACTCCTATTCTTTAAGGTTCTAAATCTCTTACACATAATTAGTTTACAAGTAAAAGTAATTTATAAGTGTAACGGCCCAAGTCCACTGCTAGCAGATATTGTTTTCGTCGGGCGACTTTCGGGCTTCTCCTCAAGGTTTTTAAAACGCGTATGCTAGGGAGAGGTTTCCACACTCTTATAAACAATGTTTCATTCTCCTCCCTAACCGATGTGGGATCTCACAACCCATCCCCTTCGAGGCACAGCGTCCTTGCTGGCACTCGTTCCCTTTTCTAATCGATGTGGGACCCTCCAATCCACCCCCTTTGTGGCCAGCGTCCTTGCTGGCACACCATCTCGTGTTCACCCCCCTTCGGGGCTCAGCCTCCTCGTTGGCACATCGGCCAGTGTCTGGCTCTGATACCATTTGTAACGGTCCAAGCCCACTGCTAGCAGATATTGTCCTCTTTGGGCTTTTTGTTTCGGTCTTTCTCTCAAGGATTTTAAAACGCGTCTGTTAGGGAGAGGTTTCTACACCCTTATAAAGAATGATTCATTCTTCCCCGACTGTTGTGAGATCTCACAAGTATCATAGACATTGCTTTTTTATATGTGTTTTACCTCCGAGGTTGGTCAAGAATGATTGGTTAATTGCCTTGCGGAAAGAAAGCTTCACTTCCAATTTCTTTTCAACATGCGTAGGGATTCGAATAATGGCTACGAAGCTTTAAAGTCTTATCTCACGGACCAATCATCTGTTCTTTGATTTGTAATAATCGTAGAGAAATCTCTAATTAACTATAGAACACGATCTATTATAATCACATATCATTATTCATGCAAAACGGCATTTTGGTGCCTGATGTGGTAGTTTTGGCGTTGCAGGAGAGGGTAGGTAGTCATTCTCCGGTAGAAGCTATTGGAGAAATCAGGCGGCTAAAGGACATCTGGAAGGGTTAAGTTGACTGATACCAAACCCATGTCATAGTTTGGGGACAGAATCTGCTGATAAGAAAGCTTGCGCGTGGCTTTACGCTGTGTAGTAAAGGGTGCAACTGCAACTTTCTTTCTTTCAACTGTGGTAATTACCATTATGTTTCACACTTTTATATGGCGTTGGAGTCTTGTGCATATTACATAATGTTTCTTTGATTCCCAAAATGGGGTATTCTTAGCCCATATGGTATGGTAAAAATTTGAGAATATCATTTTATCTAACATAAGATTACATAAATTAGATGCGACAAAATTGAAGAGTTGACAATATAATATTATAAGATAAAGTTAATTTCTTTTCCAATAAGGTTACATTAGTGCTGTATGAGTTTAATTTCTTTCCGAATAAGGTTACATTAGTGATATTTATGATATTTATGAACTAAGATGGGACTATATTATAAATTACTTATAAGAAATTTAATTGCATGTAGAGTTAGAATATTCTGTGTAAGATTTGTTTCCTTATTTATTTTTAAAGATCTTAACAAAATGAATGTGGATCTGATGTATAAATAGGACCTTAAAAAGATCTTTTTGGTACATAATAATATAAAAAATATAAGAATATAATAATATTACTTCTTTCTAATTTACATTATTTTTTCATTTAAAGTAGTGCGAAACTATTTCTTAAAACGAAATTTTAAAAATTAAAAATACAAAATAGTATATAAAAAATTAAATTTGTATGATATATATATATTTTTCTCTATTATATTGCTCAGTACGTTCATAGTCGATGGACAATAGGTGATATTCCGGTCCTCTTTTAAGAAGTATTTTCAAGATAAATAATTGTCTAAATCATCTTTAAACTCTTATTTTATTTGATGGATTAAAGGTATTCATGACTTTTGAAATTTAAAAAATATTTAAATATTTATGTATATACCAAAATGAGTATTGTTTTTTCTTGACTAAAGCTTCAACGGTCTGCTTTCTTCGTATCTGTCACAGACTCTTCAAGAGGCTGAGGCTATGAGCATTGAGCTGAATTAGTTGCATTTTTTGTGCCAATACGACTCGGCTTCCTCGGGCACTCCCTTCCCTTCCACCCTTTGCTTTTCTCTACGTCCCATTCTCCATTCAATTCTTCATTTTTTCCTCACCCAGTTTCTTCAATTTTCTTTTCCTTCCCCAAATCCACCGGCGACCCTCTGACCTATCTCCCTCCGCCGCCTTCCGACGGAATCACCGTCATTACCAGCTGTTTAGGCCTGTTTTCTCGTTGCCCATCATCGTAATTTTGTTTTCAGGCGGTGGGATTTCGAGGGGTCGGATCGGTATAGGTTTTGAAAGGAGGGGGAAGGTCGAAGATCGAAGATCGAAGATTAGGGATTTTGGTCACTTGGGCATCTCAGAAAATGGAGACATCGGCTTCTAATTCCGATCCTTACTCCAATTCTTCTTCACCCACAAATGCTCGTACCTCCTCCAGATATGGGGTCTCGCTCCCTTCGCTGAATTTCTTCCGTTCGCCTTTGTCCGTCATCTTGGATTACTCTGGAATTCTTCCCACTAGGGTTGTTCGTCATGAATCGGAGCCTGTAATCAACGCCGCTTCCACTCCTGATTTGCGGGTTTATTCTCAAAATCAAAATCACTTAATGACCACTTCTTCGTCTTCTACTGCCTCAACCTCTTCCGGTAATACCGTCTCCTCTGGGGAGGTTTCGATTAGGATTATTGGGTCTGGTGAGCAAAATCCTTCTCCCAGTGTGTTGTTGCCGCCAAATCAGGCTCCGGTTGGACAAGCGGGTTATGAGCAAAATGCCAGGCTTCCTATTTCTGGGGATCAGCCGGAATCCCCTGACGAGGAACGAGTTCCTTTGGTGTCAACTTCTTCTTCATCTATTCAATCTGGAAGTAGTCGTGTCCATGCAGAATCTGGAAATGGCACGGAAGAGACTGCCAATAGGGATTCGTCATACCAGAGATATGATATTCAGCAGGTTGCCAGATGGATTGAACAGATTCTTCCATTCTCTTTGCTATTGCTGATTGTCTTTATCCGTCAGCATTTAGAAGGTGCGCTCTTTTGCCCTCCCACAATTGTTTCAAATTTCATTGCCTTTTACACTTGGCACCACTTTGACAGATCATAGATTGTCGGTATCAAATATCATACTAGTGTTGGTTGTAAATTTCAACACTTAACTTGGTTGTTACTAGTCCTTGTTAAGATACGAGTTAGTGAGAACGCTGGCCATTGTTTTGTTGGATCTATTAAAATTTCGCTCCGTTAGTCCCTGTACTTTTTAGCTGACTTACGGCTTGATTGCAGAGGATAAGGTTTGATTTGAATACTGGTTTGGTGTGGTAAATTGCGCTGGATGTGTTTTTCCATGCTTGAGTACTGAAATTCCATTGCCGCAACTCTAAAAACTACTGCAGTATATTGAAGGGTTTCTTGCAACGTAGTTGTTGTATGTGGTAGTGATAAAATCATCCAGAAAATAGAATCGCATCAGAACTAGTTTACTGTCTAATTTTTAGAATTGAAGCCTTGTGAAGAAAAATAACTGAATTAACATTGTTGATAATTGGTTTCTATTACTAGAACATGTTTTCATGTATTGGAAAATCAAATATGCGTTGAAAAGGCAACTCATGGGAGTGGGGAAGAAGGTGTTGAGAAAGAAGTAGAGGAATACTGTATCGGTCCAAGCCCACCGCTAGCAGATATTGTCCTCTTTGGGCTTTTACAAATGGTATTAGAGCCAGACACCGGGCGGTGTGCCGATGAGGACGCTAGGTCCCAAAGGGGAGGATTGTGAGATCCCATATCGGTTGGAGAGGGGAATGAAGCACTCCTTATAAGAGTGTGGAAACCTCTTCCCAGTAGACACGATTTAAAAACCTTTAGGGGAAGCCTTGAAAGGGAAAGCCCAAAAAGACAAAATCTGCTAGCGGTGGGCTTGGACCGTTACGAATACTGTGGCAAGAGTTATGGTAGTATCAAATCATTTGGTTTGGAGATGTCACTTTACCATTCAACTTTGGAACATATTTTTGGATATGTTTGTTTGGTAGTCAACATATACCTCAACCATCTTCCATTACTTAAACAAAGGGAGTTGTAACGCTATTATTGGATGTAATCACATAGGCAAGTAGTGTTCATTTTATTTATTATTTCATTGTCTTCGTCATTTTACTCTCTTGCTGTAACATTCTTCTGAATGGTGAGAAATTATTTCTTTGACATTTCCAGGTTTTTTCATCACAATTTGGGTATCAGCTGTTCTGTATAAGTCGAACGATATTGTCAAGAAACAGACTGCTCTAAAGGTGGTGTTAACCTAAACCCAGAATTCATCTTATCTATTAGAATTTATGAAGTTATTTCCTTTTCAACTTCATTGAGAATCCTTGCAAGAAATATATACTGAAGATTACTTTTTTTTTCCTTTTTTAGGGGGAGAGGAAAATTTTTGTCCTTGCCGGTACTTCTATCGCATTTTTGGTTCATGTAATTGGGATTTACTGGTGGTGTCATAGTGATGATCTTCTGTACCCGTTAGTCATGCTTCCACCAAAGACAGTTCCACCTTTTTGGCATGCCTTGTACATCATTTTGGTTAACGGTAATAATTTTTCCCACTGCTTTAGCTCATTAATTTTCTGTAAATATAGTGATTGGATTGACAATGGAATGGAGCTTTGGAACATGTATGCAAAATTTCACCCTGGTGTATTATGTGTTCTGCACTCTGGTCAGTATTACAATGCTGTTTCTAATTAGATAGCCTGAATGGCAATATAACAAGGACGGAAAATGGTGTATTATCTTTATGCTATCTATTTGGAACTTGCCACCATAGTTTTAAAGATACGAACGCTGATAATTGCAAAAAAAGTGGAAGAATGTAGTTTGCTTTCCTTTTCGTTTTTAGATTGTCCAATCTTCCTCGTATTCTGACTTTTTCGTTGTATTTCTCTCACAATTTTATGTGCTATTTTTCAAACGTTCCATTTTAATATACCTATTACCCTTTTGGCTTTGATGTTGGACTGTATCGTGTTGTTAGATACGATGGTGAGGCAGTTGGCAATGGCTTTCAAATGTCTTCTTCTTATCTACTACAAAAATGGCAGAGGCCATAATTTTCGCCGGCAGGTATTGTGGGTTCTCAAGATTAATCATATGATGTGTGTCTATCTCATATTAACCATTAATGTCATTGTAATATCTGACAATCACTTTGTTGTAGTTCTCTGATTGGTTATAGTTCATGTTTTAGGGTCAAATTTTAACGCTTGTGGAATACTCTCTTCTGTTGTACCGTGCATTATTACCAGCACCCGTATGGTACCGGTTCTTCTTGAATAAAGATCAAGGGAGCCTCTTTTCATCACTGACAACAGGATTGTATTTAACCTTCAAGCTAACGTCTGTGGTTGAGAAGGTTTGCTTTTAACATCCTTGAGATATAGTCTCTTTTCATTTTTTTAATGAATGTTTCATATTTTGTTTAAAAAATTTATATATTTATACTCTTGAATGAGCACTTAATGATTTAATATTATGTTATAGTTCTTCGAAACCGAAGTGGTTCACGATCTTCTTTTCCTTATTTCCTCTTTAGATTCAATCATTCGTTGCTGCATTTAAGGCTCTATCACAAAAAGAAGTTCATTATGGATCATATGCCACATCAGAACAGGCAAGTACACTTATTATGTCTATTGGTAGTCTCATTTGACATCTTTAAAAGAGCTTCGTGTCTCTCCCTGCATATGACTCTACACAACTACTTTCTTATTCCAACTAATAAATCCCTCGAATAACAAAACGATACAACTATTTGTTGAATCCTTTTAGATGATTCAATGTCTCCTTTAATGCTTTCTTAATGTTACGAGTCATCCCTTCTTACAAGTCTTGATAATTGGATTCCCTTGTTGCTATCTCATGGATTCATGATAGTATTATGCCTACTGGGTACTGGATTCGTGGGAGAAACGACATCGCTTTTCTTTTTGATGAAGTACTCCAATGTCCCCCTATCTTTTGTTGTTGTGGAGACTTAAACCTTTGTTCCTGTTGAAGTTGCATGATTGAGTCATCCCATATTACTATATGATGTCGTCGACTCAACTTATCATGCTGACATTCTTGAACAAAGCACTGATTGAGGATTTATGCATTTCTAGTTGTTGTCTTGCATAAAATAACTAAGGTCATTGATATATCCTGTTTAATATTTGTTCTAGGACGTACTCGTGTATTTCTAAAACTTTCATCGAAAATGTCTTTCTACTTGTTGTCTCGATTTTAGTTTTCATTTTTTTTTATTCATCAAGAGAAAAATAGTTGTTATCATGATTCGGCAATTGGTCCTGATCATTTCCTGCAAAATATCACCCATATGGAACCAGGAGAAGTTTTTGACATTAGTTTTGTTATGTACACGATTGATTAAATGTATTGTCTCCATCCTAATAAATATCTATGTCCTGTGATTTCTCTAAGGTTACATTATGAAAGAGTAGAAATAATTCTATTCCAGTAAGTTTTCCATATACTTTTTTTTTCACTCCATTGAAGGTAAATGCTGCGGGAGACCTCTGTGCTATCTGCCAGGAGAAGATGAATGCTCCAATCCTGTTACGTTGTAAGCACATCTTTTGTGAAGATTGTGTTTCTGAATGGTTAGTATGATGACTTCACTTTTTCTTGTGTTTTCTGAATACTTCCAACAGTTCATTACTATATTCATATCAGACTTCCATAGGACCAAGATATGAATTTAACCGTAGTAATTATTAAGCTCTTTATCAACAAAAAGTTCTTGCTCCTCTTGGCTTGGAGAAAAACTGAAGGGCGTTATAATGCTTCTCTTTGGTTTGGAGTTGTATGGTATTAGTATAAGAATGTGAAGAATGAAGCTGCTGTAGTGCAAACGAGGCAATAGAGGTTGAATACATAGAAGTGGGAGTTTTTATTTATTTATTTTTATAATATATACAAATGAAAGATTGTACAAGGGCAAACAAAAAAAAAAAAGGCCTATTAATGAAAAACCCCAAAACTAATTACAAGGATGGAATCCGATCCAAAAGAATGAGACTAAGAGGGTAATTATGAAAAGCCTGATTAATGAACATCGCCCACAAAATGTCGAAAAACAAGTCGGTCACAAGACTATTCCTTTTGAAATGAAAAAACACAGAAAGGTGCTGCAGGGCGAGTGCCTAGTTGTCCGCCTTGGCTGCCTTCAAGTTGCAATGGCCCTACGTCGCCTCACCTCACTCCATAGGCATGCACTTGGGGTTGCCTTGAAAACACTGGTATATATATAGTGGGTTTAAGTTATTATGATAACAACAAGGGTCAAATTGACTCGGAGGAACATGCACATTTCAGTTATGGAGATGACTTTTGTGGAAAAGTATATGATAAATGGATGTGATTCTGCTTCCTCCATCCTTCTTAGGATGAATATTCACTGTTTAATTGGACTACAGTGCCTTAAACTCGAAAGTTTATGCCCGTTACGCTTGTAATTGATATCGATAAAACAATTTGCAATCTAAAACAGCATTGTTTCTGAAAAATTTATGTAAATCTGGACAACACTGCTCCAGCTTAGGAGCTACATCATGTAGCAACTTGCCAGTTTATGAGTTTGTAGGTAGCTACATCATGTAGCAACTTGCTGACTTGGGTTTTTAAACCAACTTGGAGAAGTTAGGATTCTGAGATTCTTTGCTAGAGAAGCCTATTTATGGACATTCAAGAATTTTTTAGACAATTCTACTCTTAAACCTTAAAGTATACCAGGGGTTAAATTTTGGTCGATGAAGAGTACTCGCCTCTTTGTAATTATCTTGTAGGGATATTTTGGATTAGTCTTTTTTTGCATAATAGTTAGTTTAGGGGTTTTGGTTCGATTCTATTGGTCGTTTTGTGGGTTCGTTTTTTTTGTTTTCTTTCGTTCTTCACACTAGACATACATGTACCCATATCAGGAATTAGTTTCAGCTGTTACAACTGTGATTACGCTTTCGTTGACTGGTTCGATGTCTCGTTTTCTCAGGTTTGAAAGAGAAAGAACTTGCCCTCTTTGCCGGGCACTCGTAAAGCCTGCAGAACTTCGAACATTCGGTGATGGGTCAACCAGCTTACTCTTCCAGTTGTTTTAGACGAAAAGTTTCAATTACTCGACATAACAATACTCTCACTTCAACAAAGAAAGATATTGTTTATCAGATGGAAACAGGGGGAAGTAGAAGAACAAAGAAAAAGGGAAAACTAGACATCGAGGCAAGTCTTAAGATATTGTCAAATTTAAAATGCTTTATAATCATTGAGAGCTGTTTATATGAATTGTTGGAGGTAAGTGTTATCTGTAAAGATTAATTCCCTGTAATTTAGGTCTGGAAAGGGCTGCCATGTGAATATGATGGTCAGTCTGTTGTGATGGTGTAAACAGAATTTGATATTGATTTCTATGTCAAGTAATTGTTGTTCCATGCACCGTCTTTCATGTTACAAATTCCAGACATTGTCGTTCCATGCACTTTTTGAGGTGTTCTTTTTTGTCTGTCATGACTTTTATACCGACTTTTATAGTCGATTCAATCTGTCTATCATTTTGATTACTTGGATAAATAGAGAGTTGAAACATTTACGAGATTAAAATTCATGAGAAAGTAGATAATCCACTGTCCCAATGAAGTAGAGAATCATGTCAAGATTAACGGTTATTAGAATGTGGTACTTAATCCACCGTCTTAAAAAAATTTCAAATTTAAATGATCACGATTGAAGTTGTTTTTAAGATGGTCTTGGCATTAAAAGCATGAAAGCTTATTTATCAAGGTACTTGAGGGGTTTTTGCCAACATAATTGACACCAGATGTACTGAGATTGACATAACCTCAGTGCAAATAGTGAGAGGTTTCCTAGACATCAGTGCAAACGACACACTAAGTTGATATAGGGTACATTTGGTGGGGTATGGTTTAAGCCTATTAAAAACCATTACATTTATAAGCCTAAACACAACTCACCTGCATACTATTTAGTAACTCAACTTCTTACACTCTAATTTAAACCCTTTGACCACAATCTTCACACGGTTTGAAGGCCCCACAACCATTCTAAAAGAAGGGGAATGACGATACTCAAAAGACAGCGAGAGTCTAAACTTCGAAACTATAAGAGAAATTATGATTTTCAACTCAACCAATGCAAAGTTCTTCCCCAAGCACAATCGTTGACGTACTCCAAATGACATGTGGAGTTGTGGAACCTTGCAGGCCTGGGCTATACCGTCTGCAAACCGTTCTGGCTTGAACTCATTCGCATCTTCTCCCCATATTTCAATTTCTTTGCGTAGCGTCGGTATCAAAGTCCATATGCAGACACCCTTTGGAATAACCACGTTCCCAAGTTGTACCTCATCAAATGTCTCCCTCGCTACAAATGCGCCCGGCGGGTACAACTGCAATGTTTCTTGAACCACCAAACTCACCTATACACATTGATCATTTCAGACACAAGGGAGAATATGTTCGGTTGTTAAAGAGAGACATTTTACCGATTTGAGTTGAGAAATCGCCGTCATGTCGAAGCGACCGTTAGGGCAAGTGTGAGAAAACTTGGAGCTGATACGGTCTTGCCAATCGGGATGGAGGGCGAGGAGCATCAAGGACCAAGCGGTGGTGACGGCGGTGGTGTCATGGCCGACAAAATACATGGTCTTGCAGTTGTCAACGGTGAAGTTTTTGAAGGACTGTTTGGCTCGTAAACTTGAGTCAGTCATGGTGGCCTCCATTATCAGCTACAACAGATCCTTGTCAGACGAGGAGGTTTTGGAGCATTGTTCTTGGTGCTGTTGAACTGTCTCCCATATTGACGAGTTGATCTCCTTTTCCAACTTTTTGATTCTTCTGTGTTTGCTTGGTTTAAAAAATCTGTCACTGTTCATCATCATTTCTAAGTTTTTCTAGTCAATGTTATGGGCTTACAAACAAAATTAAGATTATTAATGCTGCTTTTGAAAGTTCATGGACATCTTGAAAAAGTGACAACGATTTTTCTACGTTTCGTATATTAACGTAACGATAAGAGTATTCTTTAACTTTTAAAAAATGTTTAAAGGCGTCAAACGATAACAATAATGATATCAAACAAACCTTAAAGAAATGGAACCAACTAGAAAGTTCTCCCCGCAAAGCAACTTTTGAAGATCCGTAATCTTGGTGAAAATCTCCTTACCCTTCTCATACGAGCTCCCAAAGCAAGCTCTAGATATCACGTCGGCCGAGTATTCTTTGAGATCCTCATCCACTTCAATCTCCGCCATGGATCCATCTCCGATCCTTGCCTCCCATTTCTCTATCAAGGATGACCCCGCCTCAGCCATCAGTACCACCATTGGACACAATGACACCGTGGCCAAGGATCGGAGCGAACTTTTTTTTGACGTCCAAGGGCTTACCCAAGGTGAGATTGTTGGAGAGTTTCAAGTCCCTCGCTAGCTCCACCTTGTTGGCTTACAAATGCTGCTTCAAAAATTTAATTTCTATTTATAATAGTCGAACCCTACCACTAGCAAATATTATCAGCTTTGGCCCGTTATGCATAGAAGTTAATATCATAATTTCTAAAACCCGTTTGCTAGGGAGAAATTTTTACACTCTTATAAGAAATGTTCGGTTATCTTCTCATCTATATTCATCCAAAAAATAAAGGTAGAAATTAGTAGAGGTGTTCAAAAAAACTTGAGAACCGGAAAAGTTCGATCAACCCAATTCAACCCGTACAATTATGAACTTATTTAAGTTAGGTTGAGTTTCAATAAATGAAAATTTTATATTCGAATTTCTCCTCAAGAACTTGAACCAACTTTAACTCCGATTCAACCTAACCTCAATTGGAGTGGGTATTAGCCAAATACCCTATTGCTTCCTCCACTTAAAGAAATAAGGGAAGACGGTGGATGTATAATCATGAGCCACAATCGCCGACGCATGACGCGGCGGAGGAGCCATGGCTGCTGCTTCCAACTGGATCTTCTTCATCTCCGGCAAGTTACCAAACAGAGCCGACGGTGGCGGACCCATCACGCCCTGTTCTCCCAGCTTCCTCCTCAGCTCCGCCGTCTTCCTCCATGCACTATAGAAGTACAAATGGACCAACACCGCCACCACCGCCACCGCAATCGCGGCCGGAAAAACAGGCACAAAGCCTCTAATTACAGCCCCCTCCATCGCAATCCAAAACTTAAGCTTTCTTATGATTTTCCCTCTAGTAATCTTCTGGGCATTATATAGAAGAAGAAAAAAATGTAATAAAGGAACGATTTATGAGAGGAACACAATGATTTGATATTGTCCATCTTAAACATAAATTCTAGTGACTTTACTTTAGGCTTTTCAAAAAAATCTCATACCAATAGGATTTGAGGATTCACAAATATAAATATACTATTAAATAATAAATATCTACACCACATTTTCATTCCTATTAATTATATATATTTTCTTTTTCTATGCTTCAAAAGGAATTTGATAGTAATCTTAGCAAATTTAATCACTTTTCTAATATCAAATATTTCTGAAAAGCAACTAATTCCTTTTAATTTAGAATTTTGAAGGGTCGAATGGATAAACAATAAGAACATTTTGAATACCCATTTTACGTGTTGATATCTATAACATGTTGGATTAATTAGTATTAATGATAGTTTAAGACGTTTTATTGTATTTTAGGTTAGTGATTAGATAAACTTCCTGCAGATTAGGCTAATTATCGGTGAACCCTATCTTTTATTTGTGTTTTTCTTTTTTTAAAAAAAAGTTCATGGTTATATTTGTTTTTGTTAGTGATAATCTGGTTGATTCTTTCACCATTTTTATGGGAAGAAAAAGGGTTTTTTCCCTTAGTATATTGGCATACACAATGGAAGATTCCATGAGCTAAATATCTGCTATAAGAAAGAGATTGAGAGTTTAGAAGTTTTGATTTTGATCACGTAAAGTTTATTAAAAGTTGTCGGATATGATGCGTTTGAATTATTTAGGTGCAGAAATGTAAATTGATGAATGTCGAAAATTATTAACGATAACTATTTGTTAGATGTTACACCTCTCGACAAACCTCGATATATTGTTCGTTTTGATAAGACTTCATGATTTTTTTTTTTTTCTGCTCATGAAGATACTTATGATCTTCTCGTTATCTGCCAATGTGAGACTTTGACCACACAGGTCTTATTTGTTCTCCTCTCAAGCTTCAACAAGAATTTGGTTTTGTCGATGCTCTTTTGAGATTACCGAAGTCGGTATTGGGTACATTTGGTGGCTCATGGACTAAGCCTATCAAAAACCATTACATTTATAAGCATAAACACACCGTACTATTTAGTAACTCAAACTTTTTAAACCTAACCCATAACTCAGGCCGTTTATAAACAGAACCTTAAACTAAATAACATCATCTCTAGACTTCTTTAACTCTAATTCAAACCCTTTGAAGCACAATCTTCACACCGTTTGAAGGCCCCACGATCATATTATAAGAAGGAGAATGACAATACTTAGGAGATAGCGAGAATCTAAACTTAGAAACTATAAGAGAAATTATGATCTTCAACTCAACCAATGCAAAGTTCTTCCCCAAGCACAATCGTTGACCTGCCCCAAAGGGAATGTAGAGTTGTGGGACCTTGCAAGCCTTAGATATACCATCCGCAAACCGTTCTGGCTTGAACTCATTCGCATCTTCTCCCCATATTTCAATATCTCTATGTAACGTCGCAATCAAAGTCCATATGCAGACACCCTTTGGAACGATCAAGTTCCCAAGTCGTACCTCTTCAAATGTCTCCCTCGACACGAATGCGCCCGGTGGGTACAACCGCAACGTTTCTTGTACCACCAAACTCACCTATACACATTGATCATTTCAGACACAAGGGAGAATATGTTCGGTTGTTAAAGAGAGAAAGTTTACCGATTTGAGTTGAGAAATCGACGTTATGTCAAAGCGACCGTCAGGGCAAGTGTGAGCAAACTCGGAGTGGATACGGTCTTGCCAATCGGGATGGAGGGCGAGGAGCATCAAGGACCAGGCAGCGGCGATGGCGGTGGTTTCATGGCCGGAGAAATACATGGTCTTGCAGTTGTCAACGATGAAGTTTTTGGAGGACTGTTTGGCTGGTAAACTTGACTCAGTCATGGCGGCGTCCATTATCAGTTGCAATAGATCCTTGTCGGATGAGGAGGTTTTGGAGCACTGTTCTCGGCGCTGTTGAACCGTCTCCCATATTGATGAGTTGATCTCCTTTTCCAACTTTTTGATTCTTCTGTGTTTGCTTGATTTAAAAATTTTGTTACTGTTCATCATTTCTACGATTTTTTAGTCGAGCGTTATGGACTTACAAAAAGAAAAAATTTAAGGTTATTAATGCTACTTTTGAAAGTTCATGGATATCTTAATGGTTTTATCTAGGTTTCCATACATGTATTAACGCTAAGAGTATTCTTGAACTTTTAAAAAATGTTTAAATGTGTCAAACGATAACGATAACAATAATGGATATCAAACGAACCTTAAAAGAACAGAACCAACTAGAGTGTTCTCCTCGGAAAGCAGCTTCTGAAGATCCCTAATCTTCGTGAAAATCTCCTTCCCCTTCTCGTACGAGCTCCCAAAGCAAGCTCTAGCTATCACGTCGGCCGAGTATTCTTTGAGATCCTCATCCACTTTAATCTCCACCATGGATCCATCTCCGATCCTCGCCTCCCATTTTTCTATCAAGGACGACCCCGCCTTAGCCATCAGTGCCACCATGCCTCGGACCCGGTCCATGAAGAACTCGGGGGCGATGATCTTGCGCTGCAGCACCCAAAGGGAGCCGTTGGTGGTGGTGATGCCGTGGCCAAAGAGGGGAGCGGACCTTTTGTTGATGACCAAGGGCTTGCCCAAGTTGAGATTGTTGGAGAGTGTTAAGTCCTTCACTATCTCCACCTGGGTGGCGTACAAATGCTGCTGCGTCCCTGTCGAGTATGTGTATAATGGACCTGCCAAGCAAAAAAAATTTGTAAATATTATCAATTTTGACCGATTATGTATAGACATTAACATCACGGTTTTTAAAATACGTCTGCTAGTGAGAAATTTTCACACTCGTACAAGGAATGTCCGGTTCTCCTCTCATCCATACTCATCCAAAAATAAAAGTAGAAATCATTTGAAGTGTTCAAAAAACTCGAGAACCAGAAAAACTCGATCAACCCAACTCAACTCATATGATTATAACCTTATTTAAGTTGAGTCGAGTTTAAACCAATGAAAATTTTATAATTTTAAACTAGTTTGCTACTAGAAGAACCGGAACCAACTTAAACCTCAAACGGAGTCAGAATTAGCCAAATACCGTATTGCTTCCTCCACTTAGCGAAATAAGGGAAGAGGGTGGATGTATAATCATGAGCCACAATCGCCGACGCATTACGCGGCGGAGAAGCCATGGCCGCTGCCTCCAACTGGATCTTCTTCATCTCCGGCAAGTTACCGAACAGAGCCGACGGTGGCGGACCCATCACGCCCTGTTCTCGCAGCTTCCTCCTCAGCTCCGCCGTCTTCCTCCATGCACTGTTGAAGTACAAATGGACCAACACCGCCACCACCGCCACCGCAATCGCGGCCGGAAAAACAGGCACAAAACCACTAATTACAGCCCCCTTCATGGCAATCCAAAACTTAAGCTTTCTTATGATCTTCCCTCTTGTAATCTTCGGGGTATTATATAGAGAAAAAAAATACGTAATAAACGAAGAGATCGAAACTATTTTTATCATACTCTAAAAAGGAATTAATGAAACATTAAAAAAAATGTCACAAATATAAATATACTATAAATAATAGACATCATAAAATTGAGACATCCACATTTTATTTACATTAATATTTTAAACTTTCCCTTTTATTTTATTTTATTATTATTTTTTTTTTTTGTGTGTGAAATTCATTTTATTTTAGAATGTTTAAATGAAATATTGAATAGATTTAGATAAAAAAAAATTGAGTACTCATTTTAGATGTTGGTGATTAATTAATGCTAATATAGTATTAACGATAACTTAAGACGTTTCATTATATTTTAGGTTAGTGATTTGATAAACTTCCTCTTTTTAATAGCGGATTATTTAGGCTAATTATTGGTGAACTCTATCTTTTATAAGTAAGAGTGTACTAGTTTAGAAGTTTTGATTTTGATTACGTAAAGTTTTATTTAAAGTTATCAGGGCTAATGTATTTTAGGTACCGTTCGAGTTACTTGAGTGCATAAAAGTATATTGATGAATGTTGAGAATTATTAACGATAATTATTTGTTAGAGATTACAGTTCTCAATAGACCTCAACAATAATATGATATTGTTCGTCTTATAAGACTTCATGACTTTGTTTGTTTTTTTTTTCTTTTTCCTCAAAATATTTTATATTAATTGAAGATATTTATGATCTTCTCGTTATTTAGTCAATGTGAGACTTGGACCACACAGGTCTTATATGTTCTTCTCTCGAGCTTCAACAAGAGTTTAGTTTTATCGATTACCAAGCTTATCTAATTGAACTTAACCATGGTTTACTTTGCTGTAAAGTTATTGAGGCTTACTATATTTTCTATTAAACTTAAATTTATTTAAGGTAATTAGTAATGGTTAGTTAATACTAATTTATCAGTTAATTAGGTTATATTAAATAATATTTTTAAGTCTGGAGATAATAATATCTTAAAATATTTAAAATAATAATATAATTAACGGTAACAGTTGGCGCTTGGGTTTGAAGTTTGAACTTCCAAGGGCAGAAACGTCCATATCCAACCAACCAAGAACCAACGGTCTTTAAAATGTAAATATAATTATTAATTAGCAATAATGCATGCAAATTTAGCAATCGCTTTACGACATGTCGTCCACCGTCCCCACCAATCAATTCCTTTATCATTTCTTTTCTTTCATTCATTCCTTTTTCTATATTATTGTCCTTGTTTCATTATAATATAATTTTTTTTAATTAAGTTTCTAGATATATATATATATATATATATATACTTTTTGTTTTTAGAATATAGACAAATAATTGAAATATATTTTTAATAGAGAAGAAAACTGATGTGAGTGAAATATTGACAAATAGCATATCGGAAACATGTCTAACTTAAAGTTTGAGTAAAGTAACATGCAAGAGAGGTCAAAGTCCGTTGGCTTGACCCACATGATGGTCAACTATGATCGACCCCAACCAAAATAAAATCGACCCCTTCAAGCGTCGATAAGATTCTCTTTATTTCACGAGTATATTAGGTCATTCGTCACGTAACCGTTTCGTTTAATAGGTAACAATCCAAGTTACATCAATGTAAGAATTTCAATAGATTCTTGATAAACTATTGAGGAGCTCCATATTTCATTGCAAAATGAGGTTTCTTTTTAAAACGAAAATCGATTACACATCCAATAAACTAACTTTGTTGAATTTTAAAATTAAAAAAAAAACATGTTTAAAAATTGAGTTGGAACCTTGGATTATATAAATGTTTTTAAATTATAAATTTATTATTCCCCTATTGAATGTATTTACTTTGACATAGTTATATATTTATTTATTTTATTGAAAAAAAAATATAGCCATTAGTATTATTTTAGTCTTATTAATTCATTGAATAAACAATTTTATTCCAATTTTGAACTTAGAAACACAATAGGGTAAAGGGAAGAGGATAAAATATTCTCCTTTTGACTCTCATTACATTACTTTTTAAAATGTCATAATTAAGCCATTGGGTAAAAAAAAAAAACTTTATTCCATTAAAAAAAAAAACAATAATTCAAGTTTATTCTTATATGGAAATAAATATAATTCCAATTTAGATTTATAATCGTTTTATTTCATTCTAATGCATAATATTTTAGTTTGAATTGAGAAAATATGTATTTTAGAATTCAAAAATTATTTAAATCGGTTGAAGTCGGTATGATAATCAATTTTTTTTTTTAGCAATTTTCTTGTTATATTATACACGGTTAGAAGTATATTTCAAAATTTATATATATTTTTTAATATTTGAGATTCATACGAACAAAAATAATATGTTAAACTATATTAAATTGAGATATAACAAAAATAATATGAACAAATAAGGTAATGAAAATGATGTATGATTCCCCAATGATGGCAAAAGAAAGAAAATAACAATTGATAATAATAATAATTAATTAGTATTATTAAAAATAATAATAAATGGAAGCCGACAGAACTCAGCTGATGGAAGCGCGGTCGTTAGGAAGAAAACGTGGAGAAAGGAGCGTGAGAATCACGCGTTTAGTGGAATTATGAGTTTCGTAGCTTCGAAGTTTTTTTTTTTTGTTTTTTTTTTCTTTAAATAAAAAGAAAAAAGAAAAGGAAAAAGAAAAGGCTCTCAATGGAATTCTCAATACTTGCGATTTAAGGCTCGCAAAAGAACAGCTCCAGCTAAAGGGCCACAGATTACGACTTCCACTGAACTACTGGACCTCAAATCTTTACTCCCCATCGCTCATTTTCTTTTTTTCCCGATAGATCTTTCCGTCTTCGCTTCACTCTGCACCTTCATCACTCTTCTGATTGCAAAATCCAGGTACCTTTTATACTTTTTTCATCAATGTACTTCAAGAATTCACCATTTGAGTGAGTTCTGGTGCGAGTAAATGCATCTGAACAGACTGGATATTTTCTGTTCTTTTGTTTTCATCAGATTCTCTATTTGTACTTTGTAATTCTCGTGAATTCTTGGATTTTCCAGTGATTTTCCAGATCTGGGAGAACTGAGTTTTGTTTATGAATCTGGAATTTGCAAATTCGTCTTCTGAGTTGGATTTGTTCCTTTTTTAGTCTAATGATTGTATGTTTGTGTCCTTATGGTAATTTTGATGAACTGTTCTTCAAATTTGTGTTGCTTGTGATATTGAACTCAGGTGATTGCAATGAGTGGTGGAGTAGCTGATAATGCGCCTTTAGATTATGCCAGGATTCAGCTCATACCTTCTGAGAACAGGTTTTCTGTTTTCCTCCATTTCTTTTTGAAAGAATTTATATGAGATTCTGCTTGCAAAAACATGTTCTGTCATTGTTCCATTCCTAGTCCAACTATAAAACGAAGCATGATTCCTTGATATCTGTGCTTTTGAAGTCTAAATTCATTAGAGAAATTAATTCTTTAAGTAGATTTCTTGGAAAACAGAACATTCTACTTCTTTAGTAGCTTCTTACGTTCCTTCTTTCAAGATCATCTTTGGTTCAATAAAATTTCTTGTTCCTGAAATTTTTTCCCTTCATGATGGGAATGAGTGTTTATAGGTACGAGGCATTTGTTTGCTGTGGCAATGAGGTAGATGCCCTGGCTGAGGGGAATTTGGATGCATTGTTGCTGCATTTACCAGAAGTTCAAGAGCTTAATTCCAAAGGATCTAAGGCTAGCATTAAACTCCAACTTCCAGCTTCTTCAGCTGGTGCAACATGGTTCACAAAATCTACCTTAAGCAGGTTGTTCTAACTACATTATTTCAATGTTCAATTCCTTAAGCTGAATTGTGCATTTTTATTGATAATTTTACTTCTCTACTCAGGTTCCTCCATGTAGTTGGCTCGCCCGAATTAACCAATATTATGAAAACAATGAATGAGATGGCTCAACTAGAAGATACCAAGAGATTTCATCTTTCATTATATGGCCAGGTAGTAGTTCATGCTATCTATGTAAGTCGTTTTCCTATAATCTTTTCCTTGCTGGTGAAAGCTAATTTATTACAATATTCTTTCCAGGGTCAGATGTCGAAGACCAAAGAAAAAGGTAATTCTCGAAATCCATTTGGGGTAATGCCTTAATATCCTTACTTAAATTGTGCTTGAAGTGCTGATGAAACTACGGTGATATACTTTGATGTGTCTTGTAAGTATTGGCTATCACCTGTTTTGACAGATGGCTGCGACCTCGATGGCTCTAGTCTGAAACACGGGGTACTGATTTTTTCTTTGATTCTTAAAAACACTTGATCACTATGACTTTGATTACTTTATTTCGTTAATTTGTTGAGTTCCTCCTTGTGTAAATGTTACTGTGTTGGCAGTCTGGACCTGAATTTGCTTCATCAGCTGCATCGAAGTAGGTTATTTGAATTCTTAATCATCTGTTTTGTTTCTTTACGTAATATCGAATTGGTTGCTCAACTGTGAACAATGTAAAATGAATTGACAGAAACGAATTGTTGCGAGCTATGGACTTGAGGCTTACAGCATTAAATAAGGAATTAACTGCAGCATTTGAAAAGGCTTACGGTGCAACCTGCAGTTCTAAAGAAATCAGTCATTTAGCGAAGTTTTCGGAACATTTTGGAGCTATAAATTTGAAGTAAGTTATCCCAAACTAACACTTTGGAGAAGTTCATAGAAGAAACTTCTTTTCAGTATGTATATTTGTTCTCATTACAGCCTCAATTTACATCTTCATGTGATCTCTTCAGGAATTGTACATACAAATATTTGGAACTTAATCCGAAGAGTGATACCGTCGAGCTCATTAATGATGATGATAATAAGCACACCGTTACTTTGAATTTGAGCAACGAAAATGCTATTAGTATAAATGGCAGCCTTAAAGCTGAAAGATCAAATTCATCTACTCCAGTGAAATATGGTGTTTCACCTGCAAAAGTTGCCCAGATTGAGCGACAGGATTCATCAGAAACTGAGGAGTCTTCTGACTCTGATAATGAAAATGGGACACCAGCAGAAAGAAGTAGAACAATGGTACGGTCAGCGCTTTCGAGAAGGTCAGCATCACCCATGAGAAGGGTTCAGATAGGTAGAACGGGCTCCCGCCGAGCACCTGCAATAATGATTAGGAGTCTAAATCATCTGCAAACAAGAGACGGTATGTATACTCAAGGAGATGTAGCAGCTAATAGTGGTGATGATGAGGAAGGATCAGAACCTTCCTGTAAAGCAGCTGATAACAATGTTGGTAGAATATCGGTTCAGGCTGCAATCAGTCTTTTTGAAAGCAAACAGAGAAACGACCCATCCGAGGTTCAGAAAAGAAGATCATTAGCAAATATAACCGTTGGTGCAAATAAATTTGTATTGAGAAGATGGAGTACAGGCATGGGAGAGGCTTCTACGAAATGCCAGCCAGAGCTTGTTAGTGACGAATCCGATCCAATTAGTCATGATTTGGCTGAAGAGGCTCCGACGAGTAAGATAACAGAGGAAGTGGGATCTGAAAATAATATATCTTCAATCGATATGACTGCTGAAGTTGAAGTGAAATTAGAAGATTCAGACATAAAAGTTTCTGGTCCACCAGAGACTCGTGCAGATTCTCCTGTTAGTAAACCGCAGGAAGTTGTCCAAAAACTTTCCGCAAATTCAGAATGGACCCGTAGAAAGGAAGCAGAATTGGACCAAATGCTTAAAAAAGTGATGGAAAGTAAGCTTGTGGCACAAAAGAATTCTCAAGCAAATCGAAAAAAAGATGTCAATTCTGAGCAGAGGGGTGAATTGTATGATCAATACAAAGCAAAGAGAGATGAAAAACGTAGAGCAGAGGAAGCCAAAGTACATACAAATAAAGAGGCAAAAATTAAGGGAATTCGTCGAGTTGCTGATGATAGGAGATCCAAGATAGCCTCTACTGAAAATGTAACAAAAAAACGTGCCACACGTAAGCCTGAAGTTCCATCAGCAAATTTGTCGAAACCAGAAAAACCGAAGAAGGAAATCTCCAAACCATCCACAGTTGAAAAGATACCATCTAGAACAAAACCAATGGCTGCTACACGTAAGTCATGGCCATCTTCTGCATCAGAAAGAACCACTGGGATTTCTCCAGCCAGCGTGAATGCAACTCGTCAGAAAGCCCAACCGGTGTCATCCCTTAATCGACTGAGTGCTAAAATGGAAAGATCATCCCCCGTGCAAAAGAAAAATGTGAAGGAAAATAATGATAGTGCAAGGGACACGAGGCGTGTGAATGAAAAGAAGGAAATATTGCAAGCAAAGATGGGAAAAATAACAAAAGCGAAAGTTACACCTGCTGGGGATACCTCTGTTCCTGTGAAGTCGAGCATACGCGACAAGGTAGCCAAAAAAAGCAGCATAGTGCCAGTAGAATCAAAGTCCTTTCATAAGGGCTCTAGAAATAGCTTAGACAATAGTAGTCCAGTGATTAGCAAGACAAAATCTTCAAAACTTTCTAAGTCTGCAGATTCTTCTAAGAATAGCAAAAAATTGACTCGTGATCAAGAATTGGAGGTTACAGTTCCTGATCTGGCCAGTCAACCCGATAAAGAGGATGTTTCGTTGGCAGCACTTTGCGAATCCGAAACTGTTGTGAATGGTCAACAGGATAGCGAGATGCAGACTGTAGATATAGCTGATGATGCTCATCTTGGTGAGGATCTACTTCAAAAAAATGAAGAGAAATCTTCTTTAGAAATTATAGTTGAAGGAGAATCAATGATCCCACTGAAGTCCACGGAGGAAATAGAAGAGTTTCAAAAGATAACAGCCAATAGTGATGACACACCTCAACTTGCATCACTGGAAAATGCTGTACCAATCGAAAATCCCCGTGTTCGTCTCTCTTTGTCTCAGATGCTACAGGAAGAAAATAGTGAACCTGATAATATTGATTGGGGAATTGCAGAAAATCCTCCCACGATGAACTACCAAAGGGGTGCTCCAAAAGGATTTAAGAGACTCCTAAAGTTTGCAAGGAAAAGCAAGGGAGAAGCAAACCTGGCCGGTTGGTCGAGCCCTTCTGTGGTTTCTGAGGGGGAGGATGATTCTGAGGAATCTAAATCTCTGAGCACGAAAAAGGCAGACAATCTATTGATGAAAGCTACACATAACTCTGGTCTTGTAAAGGCTTCTCTGGACAAAAACTTTGACCATGAAAAACTATACTCAGGTTTGATCTTTTTCCTTGTCAATGTTGCATCTGTCTACTTTGTTTGGCTGTGATTTATCTTAAAACTGCGTTGCTTATTATGATTTCGACTCGAAAACACATTAGAAACCAACGGAACTTTTATGAATATTCTTAACATTCGCTTTTACATTTGAGCGCAGCCATCAATTTGATTTACAAAGCTCTGCACTTGAATTACTAATATGAATTAGAAGAAAATGATAATGTAGGAATTCGAACAAATCGATTAGGATGTGTTAATCTCTTCTATAAATATTCTCAATGTAACCGTTCAAGCCCACCGCTAACGGATATTGTTCTCTTTGGGCTTTCCCTTTCGGGATTCCCCTTAAGGTTTAAGAATGCGTCTGCTAGGGAGAGGTTTCCACACCCTTATAAAGAAGTTTTGTTCTCCTCCCCAACCCCCTTCGGGGCCCAGCGTCCTTGCTGGCACACCGCCTCGTGTCCATCCCCCTTCGGGGCTCAGCCTTCTCGCTGGTACATGTCCGGTGTTTGGTTCTGATACCATTTGTAACAACAGCCCAAACCCACCGCTAGCAGATATTGTCCTCTTTGAGCTTTTCCTTCCGGGACTCCCCTTAAAGTTTTAAAATGCATCTGCTAGGGAAAGCCACTCCCTCATAAAGAATTATTTGTTCTCCTCCCCAATCGACATGGGATCTCACACTCAACTTGCATGTCATAAATATGCATATGCAGGTACATATGGTGGACAGAATTTTAATTCCAAGTTTCAAGAAAGCCATGATCATGCTGCAGTTTCTTCAACTAAAGGTTAGACATGTATGATTTACATTTTCCCAATCTCTGTTCTTGTTTTTCCTTTTGGCACATCTATGAAAACAAGGATTTTAACTCTATTTTTCTTTATACTCGTGGCAGTAGGCAGGTCTTTCTTTTCGCTATCTGCTTTTCGGGGCAGTAAATAGAAAGAATGAGCAAGTTTTGGGACATATCGTTCTCTGCCACATTTTCTTCAAGGTGAATATTGTGAAAGCTGCTTCCCTTCTCTTCATACTACAGAATTTGTAATGTATCTCTCCCTGAACATAAATATTGACTAACAGTTAGTATTCTTTCACTTACTTTGCCATGGATGTAAGATTCAATAGCTTTGCTAAGCATTTTGTTCTTCAGTTCTTGTGGACAAACTGAGTATATACTGAACACTGAAGCTGAATTCTGGCAGGATAGGATACCACAGTCACTTGGTAGCTGGACATATTACTAACATCCCAGCTATCCATGTTGTACTGTGATAGCCGAAAGTTTATTGTTTAAAACAATACTAAGTTTTGGAGATTTTCTATTTGTTTTGTTTTCAAAACTGTCATAAGTACTGTGATTTCAGGTGATTTGTAAAGATAAAGTCATTATCAATAGGATTTGTGATTTGGAAGGAAAAGTATTTTTTTTTTGTTCCCTCCCTTTATCTTTGGAAACGAATTTCATTTGCCGTGAGAACGAAAACTACATAGCATGCTTCGTGGTCAATAAGAGTCGAGGTAAATAAGAAATAAGTTAAAGTCACAGTGGTATTGACCTAAGACTTAATAGCCTACATCATTTCACAATGCTAAATGATTATCTTATGAGAAAGTGAACAACAAACATTTGATGAAATTTCTTGCCTCACTTTCAGTTGAGAGGGAAGGTAGATTTGACTCGAATATCAGACTTGATCTTTAATCCTACACCAGTTGCATTCCACATACATCCCACATACATTCCACATACATCCCACATACACCAGTTGAAGCACTCCTAATTTCCTTACTTTTTGATTCCTTTGAAAGTTTCATCATTTATCATTCAATTCGTTGCCTTCTTTCGAGTAGATCCATTAGCATCCAGCCATCCAACCAATCTTGTTGAACTATTGACAAACGAAAAGAACTTATTTTGATGAAAATTTCTGAAGCACACAATCCTACCCCATTTGAATCCGAGTTTACCTTTACACTTCAAACAACAGTCAAGTATCATTATTATTACGCTAACCATGCAGTGTTCAAAACCAGCCTTAATATGAGATTTTAACGACTGAGAAACCTTCTTATTTGTCCATTTTTCTAATGACCGATCTAAGATAAGTTCCCACCAGCACCTCTTAGTTGTATTTACACTTTTCGAAATCTTGAAAAGAATCCAACTCGAAATCAAAGAAGTGATAGATATGGTGATCATGTGACCTCTCAGCCAAGTGATGAAACCCCCTAGCAAGCTAAGGGGCATGAAGAACAGAGAGAGAGAGAGAGAGAGGCATGTTCTACACAGGCTGTTCTCAAATGTGCAGAGCATGTGGGCGAACGTGCAAACTTATGAAGAGGCTTTACCATTAGGGAAAGATCCACACCCATATTATGCTATTTTTCTCCCCAATCGCCAACCAAACCAAAAGAAAAGAAAAAAAAAACCCTGAAGATTGCAGAGTTTAAAAGGCCCTTTTGGACCACTGGATTTCTGCAATACCAAGGACTAAAAACCATGCATAGCCTAAGTGGTAGGGTTACATGCACCTATACATATAATATATATAATATCAAAGTTGTGGTATTATTATATGTGTGTTTCTTTGGATGGTGGTGTTGAGAGAAATCAAACCTATTCAGTGTTGTTCTAACCTATTTTCTTATGTGTTTCCTTAAATATCAACAAAGGCTTATAATAAAGTTCGTAAACCATCTAAGTGTAGCGATTAGTTTCATTTAGATCGTTGGTTCTTCGCCTGTTATCTGTTGAACTAAAATGTAGTTGAACCGTTTATCATATTACAAAAGAGCGATTGGGTTGTGGTTAAATGTTTATAGGACAAGACTCTCATGTGAGTCTGGATTGATGTCCCTTATCATATCAAACCCTAATCTTTCAAGTAATTGAGCTCAAGAATGAACTTTGAGAACTCATGGGTGTGATGTTTTGGTTAAGAAAATCGAGTGAAGTCATGGTGAAAGCGAGTCCTTATTCGCTGTGTGTAATTGTGTCATTCTCTATAAAGCTCGAGTGAACCTAAAAGTAATCTTTGTAATCCTCCACGTCTATAATTCATACCCGAATTTGGGGTCTAAATTCGATATTTGATGATTTTGACATTCCTCTGCATCCTATAGGATATGATCACGTTACTTATTTATCTTGAAGTTCTTCTAAAAGTGAAGATTTTTTCCATAAACCAACATATTTTTATACGAAAACTCTATAAGAGGCCACCAAATTAGAGAGGGAGGAAAAGACATGCTGAAAAGATCATGTGGGGAAGTTTTCACTCTCAGAAACACTCTAAGACAAGTAGGTAACATGACCATGTTATAGAAGATGCAGGAAACTGCCACGACCATCAGGTGCTGAACCCATATTCCAAATCCTTATTCGAATCATAAGCACGAGGTAATATGGGTTTCAAACCCGCTCTTCTCTTCTAAGTCTCTGTCTTAATATGTATATATTAAAAAAGTAAACATATAATATACATAGTTTTAGTTGTTAAAGAGGGAAGCAAATGATGATTATGTTAGATGTTGGGTCAGCTGGTGAGCTTTTTCTTTGAATTAAAAAACTTAGAGAAGAACATGCATCATCTTGCTATTAATATTTACCCATAAAACTTAGTTCAAATACATGAAATTTAAATGGAGAAGCACCATCCCTTTTTGTCATATTTTTTTTTATTTACTTTTTCAATAATTAATTCAACTTTATTTTTGTCTCCTTTAACTGCATCAAGATGGACCTCCTTTTTTATTTCCTTTTTTTATTTTTAAATAATAATTATTTTGAGAAATATTATTTAATGTGATCAACTTTTTTCACGTGTTGTACTTCCATAGATTTTGAATTTCCCTTTTGAAGTAATAATGTTAATTTTTAATTGCTTCCATATTTTTAATTCTTAGAGAGAAAAAAAAAAAAAACAGAGTTAAATTGGATCGGGTTTATAATAAATTTGCATAACGCTATGATAATGGTTAGGTATTTTTTCGATCTCTCGAGAAATTTATTTTAATTAATACATAAAATTAACATAATAAGTGACGAATGATTTATTTTTAAATTATTTTTGACCGACGTAATTAATTAGTATATAAAGGTACCATTCACTCTTTTTTTTTTTTTTTTTTTTTTTAGCTTTTTGTAAAAAAAATTAGAGAGTAAGATTCGAACATTTGATTTGTTGATCAAAGTTAATGCATGTTCGGTGTTTAAAGTTTTGAAATGACACTTATAGTCTCGAAAGATTAAAAAAATTTGTATATATGTTTAATTAGTTGAGTCAAGCTTAAATTGGTTAATTTTGATAAGAAATATATATATATTTATATAAAAGCTTTAATAGTATAAAAATATATTGAAAATGTCTAAAATATTAAAATGCCGACGTGGATAAAAATATCGAAGTTGCGAGAATTTTGAAAAAATATTATACAAATCGACGAAAATAGTTTGAATTATTAAAATACACGTCATAAGTGGACTATAATCATATCTAAAAAAGCATATACAACCCTACCAACTTTGTATTATAATTTTCATTTGTTTATTTATATTGCATTCAACGTATTTCGTGAAAACGAACATTTGAAGCTAAAAACATAATATATGATACGATAAACACAAACAATTTCTTATTATAACTTATAATCAGTCAATAAGACTGATTCAACGTCACACACGTTATTGGATTACAACAAATCACACCCATCAAATACAAATCTGAAGACATTCACCCTCGATCACGAGATCAAGGTTTCAATCGTTTATATGCGTTTCAAAACAACAAAGAGTTGAACTTTTTCATGGAGCTTAGAGTTGACTTCCTCATTATAGGGTTCAAGTTTATGGGTGACTCTTTCAAATATTTGGTCAATGATGTTAGGGTCATTGCCAAAATGGTTGGTGAAAATGCCTTCCATTGCAGCCCTGATATGGTCAATCCACTCTCTAGTGTCCACCGCGCCTTCAATCCATGTGGTTGGCGCTGTTAGCTCCATCCTTTCAATGCTAAAGTGCCCATTTTCTTCCACTAATTGCCTCATTTCAGCTGGACACGTTATGTATATGGGCAAGTTAAAGGAGTCCACTTCAGCTTCACTCACCAGCCCCTCTTTTGACATATCCATGAGCGTTGAGGCTAGAAGATTATATAGCAACCCTGATGGTAAGCCAGCAGCTGACACTCCATCAGGGTTCCCTGATGTTATGATCACCATAATCCCTCCTTCCACCAGCTCCTCCGCCCTAGCCCTCAGAAAATTCCCCATATCCTTGGCATATTGTGCTGAATACGCTGCAGCCACCGTCTCCGTCGCCCCGAGGTAATGTATCTTCCCCTTGTTCCACGCTGGTGACTGCTCATCTAGTACCTCCTCCGGTATCCTCGACAACCAATGCACTGCGTATGACGAATGCATAAATTGCACCGAGGATGTCGGGAATAGTCTCCGGTGGAATGACCCCGCCACACCCGCCGCAAAGTAGTCTCGATCCTCCGGCATTGATTGGAAAAGCGTGTTGAAATCATTGGTAGTCTGTATCATGTATTACGAGTATGAATGAATTTAAATAATGTAACGATCCACTTTTGAATTTAGGGATGATTTAATTTAGTCACCTGATCGTTAAAAAACACTTGAAACTCAGGTAATGGTGAGGTAGGACACACTGATTGGAACGTTCGTTTCATTGAGTTTACAATGTGTTGCATTGTCCCGAACGTGTTCGGCCCCGTTGCACAACCCATGTCGGCAAGAACAAGGGTATTTGAAGGGGAAGAAGAAGAGAGCTTTTGAATCTCAAAATTGTGGGCAATTTCTTGATCAATTTTATCTCTTTCAACGTTTGCAAATAATCTCTGAAACAAAAGGGAAAAGAAGGAATAATATGATGAACATAAAGAGGTGGCCCATGCAGATCCAACACTTGGAGGAAATAAATAATGGCACTTGTGTTTGATCCGTACAGAAAATATTGTTGACAAAGCTGATAAAATCAAGGCACCCCATGAATGTTCTTGGTGTTAATTAGGGTTTCAAATTGGCCAACTTGTTTGTATTTTTTATTACAAAAGTTTACTTTTTTTGTTATTATAATTGTTCTGACTTTTTAGGAGCATATAATTAAATAAAGGGTTTATTTCAAAGATTGTTTATAGGGTATCTTAGAGTGGGAACAAATTAAAGGTTAGTGGCTAGGGTTTGTAGGGTGGAACACGACCTAGGGATAGCTATGTCGGAATAGAATCTTAATATTAAATTTAAGAGCTGAGATTTCAACGAGAATTGAGACCACAATGAGATCCCATGTTAGTTGGTGAAGGGAACAAAACATAGAGTGTGACTGGAACTGAAAGTCCAATAGATGAACTTGGACGGTTATAAATGGTATCAGAGCCAAACAGTGAGAGATGTG